CATAGGCTACACACACACACACACACACACCATTCATATCAGGGATGCTCAACAAGTGGTGTGTGCATTACAAGTAAAAGTGAAATACATTAAATCCTAATGGGAAAACAAGTATTAGCGTCATATGACAACTGGATACTAAAAGAAACTAAAGAATTTAGAAAGATAGCAATTCTGTACTTTTGCTCTCTATTCTAATTACAACAGATCTCAACCATGTCACAAACATGAACCCACTACGATGAGCGAGCTGCCCTATAATATGTCCTGGCCCACTCTGCCTTAACAAGGCCGATAACACACAACAGTTGCTTGCATAGGCCAACACTTATAACACACCATTGGGTTGAAAGGAGATTTCCTCAGAGAACTAGAATATATATATACACCATCGTCATTATGTACTAGGCCTATGTCTTCCTCTGTCTCTGCCCGCTGGAAAAATCTCCCACTCTCTGATGTTAACTGCTCGACCATACTCATGAAATTTAGCCTATGTCTACCTCTACCTCTCTTTCCAGCAATGTATCCTGTTAGTGTGTTATATGCAACAGTGTATATATTTTTTCTGCATTCTAATCATTGCATGAACAATATGAGTGTATGATAATTTCCAATTTATAAGAACTCATTTTATAAGAACACTGAGGCTGCAATTACTTTAACAATAAGAACAACAAGAACAAATTGAGGCTAAGATAAAATGTCAAATGAAGAAACTAACAAATCTTATCTGTACCTTAGTTGCAGTAGGTATGACTATGTCATACCCTTTATAATATAGTACAGTAGTAATATACTGCTGTACAATAATAATTTTTTATCTTTGAAATGTGTATAAAATAAGAACAAATTAAGAACATTTTGAGCCTGAAATCGGCAAAAAAAGAACACTGAGCCTGAGAAAAATTTTACTGTTTCTTATAAAAAAGTGTATTTATACAGTAGTATTAGTAATTGCCAGTCTGGTCCTACAATCAGAAGCCAAATAAGTTGACAGGTAAAGCACAAGGCCTCCTGCTGTGGCATTGTATTCTACCTGAGGGTTTATTTATGTTTATAATGAATGGTTCTTTAATGAGCAACAGAGATTGGAGGATGGATGATTGACCTTTCTGAATAAACCAATCAGAAACTCACGTTTCATATTTCACTTCTATGATATTTCATCTACAATTTTACAAGTAATTCAAGCAAATTTCTGAGGTCAATGACTTCATTTTCGAATCGAATTTAAAATTAGTTTCCTCTTGTATGATTCTAGGTGCTTCCATAATAATAATATTAGTAATAATATAATGATATTTCTATTTGATATTCCCCCCCCCCCTGAACATTTTGTTTTACTTTATGTGAAAACTACAAACCACATAGAATCATAAAAACTTGCTATTACTGAGAAATAAGGAGGATTGTTGTACTGTCTATGGAAATTGTTAATACCTAAAATATTTAAAAAAATGTTTTCAAACTTGCCTTTCTTTCTATTCAGGGGGGCACCAGTGGTAGGGGTGGGGGAGCAGAGACGGGCACAAATTGCAGTTTAATTACCCGTTTATTAATATTCCAAAATATGTAGAATAATGTCCTATTTTATATGCACGTCTTTGATATCCAGTATACAGTAGTCTTGCTTGGACAAAGATTGAAGAAGATCCAAAAGTACGGAAAGTGACTAAAGTGCCGGTCAGAAAACCCTGTGCAAAAACATAGAAAAACGCAGAATAGAAAAAGAACAAAAAAATCAGAACAAAAACAACAGATTTTTATGCAAACTGGATTGTCACCAAAACATAATAATTTCTTCCTTGCAAAACTTTAAGTTAAAAGAGCTATATAAATCCATATATTATTATTGTTATTGATTCGTTTCTAAAATATATCTGGTGTGGTGTGTTTGCCTTTAAAATATTTTATTTGGTTTTCATATCCACACCTCACTCCAGATTGTCGCTAAATTTTACGCAGCACATCTTTGGTATATGGTCTATGTTTGGGGAAAGTTTGGAAAAGATCCAAGCATGGAAAATGACTAAAGTGCCGGTCAGCAAAATCATGTGCAAATAAGATAGGAAAAACATGTGGAAAAAAAAAAATCAGAACAAAAACAATGGCTTTTTCTGCTACTGCTAGGAAAAGTCAGTAACTAATAATAATAATAATAAGCAGTTACTATAAATATACAGTAATGACCGAGAATAACAATAAGCCTTGTACTTCAGACGCACATGTAAAGATTTAGTACCGTGAGAAAACTAGGCTACTTTTACTTCAAACAAACCATCTAATCAATTCAGCCTACATATTACCTGAGATTTTACTTTTTGGCATTATCGATCTCTACAATAACAAAATACTTCAGAATTGTTATTGTTGCTATAATTTTATGGTGGTTACCTCAGATAACCATTACCCATTGATTGTTCATTGGTAAGAAGCAACCACTAAGCTGGTACAGTTAGCTGCTATACAGTGACACCATTTGCTGTCATTGTGTCTCCATTGCATTAGCTGAGTATAGATGGGTTTCTCACGAATGAGTACATATACATATTTTTATGTTTGATATTATAGTTTTAGTTTTTTAAATATATATAATGGATTCTTATGTCATTTCTATTATATTGTGATTTGTATATAATGGATGTATACTTGATATTTGATATGTAATATAATATTATATACGGTAATTTATTTATATTTATTGCAAGAGTGACTCTTCCAATTAGGCCAAGAAGGTGTGCTAATAACCAGGGCCTTATTAATATTGAAAATTTTATTCAGTATATTAAATTATTGTTTTTAAACATTAAGTCATTGATCGCTGAGGAAAATACATAGTAAATGTATAATATTTATATATGTAAATCAATAAAACTTGTTTCAGTCAGATAATTTTAATTTCATTTTCTTAAATTTTCTGAAGGTCTTCCAAATCATGTATCCACACACCGTTCATATTTAATCCTGTGAAAAACATGTGACATGCCTAAATTTGGTCATGATGACATCACACCATGACCATATATAGGCACATCGTGACTATATACGGGCATACATCATTTGTAATCTGGAATGAGCTTAAGTCACTGTAGCCTGAGTGTCTGCATAATTAACACTATACAATGGTTTATTTTCTCTAAATTTCTGCATTATACAATATCTTAAATAAATCCATAAACCACTAAAATTACAAATAGTTGTTTACATTATTCATCTTGTTAACATGCAAACCACTGGCCTTGTTTCATTTTCATTTGTTTGCATTCATATATTGTTTAAATCTAATGATGGCAATAGTAATGTGATACTGCAATGGATTATAATTCGTAGCACAAATATTTATGAAATTTTGTTTGTATTGTACTTCAACACGTATGCACTTAATAAAACTTACGGTAGAATTACAGCTAATACTAGAATTAACGATTTTACATTCTGGTTCTCTTGTCAGGGAGATGATATTGATAAAGAATGATAATAATTATAATAAATGAAATAATATTAAATAATAAGGATAATGGAAAAAGAAAAAAAAGAATAAAGGAAAATAACAATGATTGATAATGATGATAATACAGAAGTTATGATAATAATGAATGAAGCCATATGTTTGATAATGACAATTATTATAATAAATAATACTATGATGATAATTTTGATAATAATGAATGATTAATCATAAATATTAATAATACTGAATAATTATGATATTTTCAATAATGATGATAAATATAATATATGAATAGACAGATTTATATGCATAAATAAACAGGGTCTCTGCAATATATTATTATACAAATTATTTATTTAATAATTTGATAATGAATCATAATAATGATGATAAATATATTGATAATGATAATAATGATGCTAATAATATATAAGGATAATAATAAATTAATAATAACAGAAATGATACTAAAATTATAATGTTAATTTCTACAAAAAAAAGTATCTTGTCCCATATTCAAATTTGGTATTTATGTTGAAAAATTGTACAATAACATAGTTATAGTATAGTATACTGTAGTATAGTATAGTCTAGGGTAGTATGGTAGTATGTTTCCTGGAGTTACTGTACAAACGTCCTTTGTACAATAACATAGTTATAGTATAGTATACTGTAGTATAGTATAGTCTAGGGTAGTATGGTAGTATGTTTCCTGGAGTTACTGTACAAACGTCCTTTGTATATGGAACATTCTTAATTCTGTTTAATAAAAGGATACCAAAAGTGAAACATTAATGAAGTTATCATAGTAATTGAAGCTATTTTTTTCTTGTTTATTCAGTCATACACATTGTGATTAGTTCTTTATGCTTTGTTATACTTCTACTTTCAAGTAGGCCTACCACATTCTCTAAAAAAAACAAATAACACTATTCAAATAGGGAATTGGAACATAAGTTAGGTCACTTCATTTTAGAAGAGGAGTTGTAAGCTGTAGAAGAACTATTGGGATTGTTCTCACAAGTTTTTGTCACACAGCTGTTGTCACTTATCTATCACCTGAAGTATTCATGTAATTACACTTATTTATACAAAAGTTATTTATTTCATTTCATTTCATTTATTCAATATCCAGGTAAAAGCAATACAAGATGTTCGTTACCTGAGGATTGCCAAAAGTGCAAGCACTATCCATGTAGCTCTCCTATAGACCTGCTGAACGTCTTTACAACAATATACATAAAAAAAAACCAATATATCAACAATAAACTATTAGAATTAAAATTAACACAGATATAAGATGCCAGTAAAACAATTCACAGAGAAAATATAGAATTTTCAAAACAGTTAAAACTATCAAGAATAAGCATTCTTATTCAATCCTAAGATACATAGTTGAGTTTAAAAGATTTCTGTGAACTGTCCAATTTTATTATTTTCCTCGATGTTTCATAGTTTATCGTTAATTACTGTCTATTTTAAAATTGATTGCATCTTGCATCCTTTAGTAAAAGGTGTGGTAGAAATTCCTGTATTATTATTTATTATGTGAAAGAAGGAAGTCTGACTGAAACTGTTGGATTCCAAAACAATTTCATGCTCATTTTATGAGCTCTATCCTGTTGATCAGGAAATGCTATGTCTTGTTGAACTTTTGATAAAAATGTACTGTCTGTCTTGAGATAATAAACAATAATGCAATTTAATATTTTAAATTTCCACTAAAAAGCAGCACATACAAAGAATTACAACAAACATACTAGGCGAAGCTACTTGAAAATTTTTATTTCCTAATTTACAAACAGTAGATAATAAAAATTGGTGTTGGGCCACAGGCCACACTTAGCTCTCCTTTGCTTTAGGTAGTCACCTATGAGAGCCAGAGGTCCAAGAAATGCCTAGTGGGATCCATGGATTGAGGTCTTGGGAGGGGTCAGTGCAAAATTCTCTGAAGCTAACATTTTAGCGTGTTAAGAAATTTGTATCAATTGATAGTTTTATTGCTGGGGGAGATGTCAGTTGGTTCCTAGAGGGTGATTCATTCAAAGCCTCTGTGGTTATGGGCCAGTCTTTTCTTATATATTATGCATCTATATAGACCCTTAAATTTTCTGGTGATCAGTTTTTCATATTAAAACAAAGTAAAGCAGCAAAAACTCTTGTAATCTATGTCTTATTTGAACTTATGATACTTTTTATTGGACAGTTTAGTGTTTTTAATGATCTTTTGAAGGTTTCCTGATTCAGATGCATCAGTATTATCTTTGGGTAGATTGAAATTGAAATATTTGTGTATGATTTACCTATTATTGTTTTGATTTTTTTGTTAATCCAATTTAACATGACTCAGTGGTGGTACCAGCAGAGAGGGGGGTGCAGAGGCATTTCTCCCCTTCGGACAGGCTTGGACCCCCGTCATCCAATGCCATGGACGAGGTCGTTGGACCAAATATGTTAATATTAGTCTATAAAAACTCTTTTCATGAACCCTACCAGGAATTTTCTTTTCATGACCCTAATTAAGACTCTAGTCTTGGTTCGGACCCCGCTGTCGGACATGTCGGACCCCTTGTCAGCAAATTTCTGGAGCCACCGCTGGACATGAAGTTCATTTGTTTGTCAGACAATATTCGCATATTTCACATCTTGTCATCAAATATTTGAGCTGACTTCCATATCTTCTGGCTATTTAAATATCTTTCGATGTCACATCTTCACAACAGCCTCATCCAAATTATCACATTACTTTTAATGTGTTCGCCGTACTGTAAGTGAACTGAAATTAGAATAAAAAACAAATTAACAAGTCATTTATTGTAATTTGATGATTATCTAAGTAGCAAACATCTTATGGTGATGTTATATTCTTCATGTTAGATAGCTATGTGCCCTTTGACCTTATCTTGTACCGAACACTACCCATGGGAATAGATCTCTATTCCGTGAGGATTATCAACATTCTTGCACCTTTTAATTGCCGCGATTAGATGGCGCCGCACAGATAACATGTTCTGGTTTTCCAGTTTTTCGGTTTGACAGCCATTCCAATGGTTGATGACATTTTTCAAATTGCTTAATTTTCTGATTGATGCATTTATGTGGAATAAATTCATGAAATTAAACTTCAGATACATTGTAATTTATAATGTGCATGCCTATGGGCTTTATAAGTGTGTGTGTGTGTGTGTGGGTTTGTGGCAGTTCTCACTGTGGGTTTTTGTGGGTATAAATCTTGTACATGGCTATAAGTACCAAGTTTGTCAATTAAGTCAGTGTATATATGATATACAGTATGTAATATAAATATATGTTCAAAGGCAAAAACTCAACCTTGTCTTATAAACCTTCAGTTTTATACATTTATTAGTGCTTTGGAAGGATATAAAAAATTGTAAGCTAAATTAACATCAAGTATGTAGCCTAGAACAAAATATGAAGACAAATTAATCATTTAATCATATGAAAGTAGGTATAAAATTATATTTGTTGATTTACCATACTTAAAAATAGAAGTGGGTAGAAAAATCAGTACTGTATCTGATTTTGTGTTTTATAAATTTATTATTTTTAATAAAAAAATTTTTATAAATTTCTTTAACTTACGGTTGGTCTTGGGATTTTTTTGTTCCTTTAATTGCATTCATTTGATTTTATCCATTCAATTTTTGATCATCAAATCTGTGTGATATGATGAACATTTTTATTATAGTGTTTTCCAAAAGTATATGAGTATATTTCTGATCAATTATACAAGAGGAAAAGAATAAACAGCTTCAATAAGTTGCACATATATTTAAATTAGAGAAAACAAATAAACAACGATCAAAATTCAAGTATTAAAAAGAAAGTATGCACGCAATTCTGTCTCCAAATTCGTATTGAATTTTTTTTCTTCATTTCAGATGCAGCGTGAAATTCATATCCACTCTCAACTTGACCATCGGAATGTTGTCGGTTTCCACAAACATTTTGAAGACGATGAGAACGTCTACGTCATTCTTGAACTATGCAATAAAAAGGTATTAAACATCGCTGTCCATTTTCTCCTGCATTTAAAATAATTATTTGGCAGATTGTTTATTAGACTTTCACTTATTGTATGTGTCTGTTAAATGGAAAATATTCTTTGTGCTAAGGCAAGACTTTTTATACCTTGTTTAGCCAACCCGCCACCTGCCAATAATGGTGATTTTTAATAAAAATAAAATTTTATTTTTGGCCAATTAGTATACCCGCCTCACAAAAAAAAATAGAAATTTAAAAAAAAATGAAAGTTCGTTTTTAATTTTTATTGTGCCCGCCGCTGCCTTGAAATCTCAAAAACAAGACATGTTTATTTCTTCCTAATTATATAAATTTAAAGTATTTAACCACCCCATCACTATACTGTTTTCATTTACCAATAAAATTTTATTTTTATTTTCTCCTCTGTCTGGATGTTGTTGGTTTTGCTAAATAAGAAAACAAAATTTTATTTTTAGTATTTTTTCCACCCTCATCTGATGAGCTTTAAAAAAATAAGTTCGCGAAACAGTTGGATTAGAAAAAGACTTGCCTAATGCTCAATTGAAAGCTGTAAACTTAAAACATTGAATTTTATATTAAGTTTATAAGCACAACACAGACAGAATCTTTAATTTATAACTGACGTCTGTGAGCTGTATAATTGATATGTGACTGTCGGAATGAGATCTAGTAAGATGTAAATTTGATATTTGACAGTGTCGTCGTTACCATAACAATGCAAGTTCATACGCAGTTTAATATCATGGAAAAAAATATATTTTATAAATTCACAAACAGTAGTTGAATTAAACAATGCGTTAACAAAAAAGGTCGAGGTAGAAGAGGTAAATTTTTACTTACCGTAAATCATCATAAACAATCAATCAGTATCATATTTAATCGAAAACATAATCATAAATTAATTTTCTTTAGTACTTCTATCTCGTTTGTTATGTTAGTAATAAATTAAAATTGAATAGGGAAGGGAAGAAAAAAAATTAATATAGAAATGAAGGAAAACAAATACAAATATAAACATCATAATATTTCTTTAACCTTAGTAAATAATAAGCAAAGTCATGGTTCTTGTTTTTCTTTAGTACTTCTATGTAGTTTGTTATGTTAGAGTAATAAATTAAAATTGAGTGTAAGGAAAGGGAAAAAAATAGAAATAGGAATAAAGAAAAACAAATATAAACATAATAATATTACTTTAACCTTTATGTCTCAAACACACATCAAATTACAGGTATGTTTTATAAACACATTGTGAGACTTAAAGAGTAGAGAATGTTGATATTTTGTATGCTCTTTCCACACTATCAAATTGTCTTTGCCCATATATAGCCATGATGTGCCTATATATGGTCATGATGTGCCTATATATGGTCATGATGTGCCCATATATAGCCATGATGTGCCCATATATGGTCATGATGTGCCTATATATGGTCATGATGTGCCTATATATAGTCATGATGTGCCTATATATGGTCATGATGTGATGTCACCATGACCATATTTAGGCATGTCACATGTTTTTGTGTCAAATCAAATTTTGATAGTCTGGATAGGGCTTTAGGATTTGACCCGATGACCCTGGGATTGCTACTATACACAGGTCTACTCAGATTGTGTGATTACAGTGGGTGGTTAATGTAAATGTGATTACTATGAAGTCAATGCAGATATGATTTGTTCTGGGTAGTAAATATTATAGTCACTTCAAACCTTATGGATGACATTATAATCACCCACATACTTAATAATTAATGATAGTAATGATTAGAAATTTGATATTTTTGCTTGTTAAGCTTATGTTTGTATTCATGAATTGCATCAATGCTGAAAGCAGTCATTTTACTTTTTTATAATTCAAAAATATGAAAGAAAAAGAGTTTGATCATCAAAGAAAAATATAGCAACAGTGAAATTTTTTGCTTCATCTTTCAGTCTCTGCTGCACATGCTCAAACTACGTAAAACTTTAACGGAATCTGAAGTTCGCTACTTCATGAAACAAGTGATAGAGGGCTTGCGGTATATGCACAGTTGCAGCGTCATTCATCGTGACCTCAAACTTGGCAATATGTTCCTGACGGACAGCATGGAAGTCAAGATAGGAGACTTTGGTCTGGCGGCAAAATTAGAGTTTAATGGTGACAGAAAGCGGTAGGTTACCAAAAGAGCTAGAAGTGGTTTGGTGCAGCGGGAACTCTTTGGTTTCCCAACATCAAGGTTGAGGTTTCAATCCCTTGATGTGCATTTAGCTATTGTCCTTGAGCAAGGCACTTAATCAGCGTTGCTCCTCTTCATCCAGTGCATCAAATAATATCAGTGCAAAAATGCGCTGATATATTTAATGCAGCTATATAGAGCGCTATATAAAAGCCTACATATAATTATTATTAAAATATTCTATATTTTTCTTTCTTATATGTAAAACCAGAATTCTAGCCATCTTAGTCAAAACAACATGGTAAAAAATGGCAATGCTCAAAAATAACTTTCCTTGTCATTTACTGGATGACTTTTCACTGACAGTCAATGCCAGCTTCATCATATGTGACATCAATGATGGGACATTACTTTACCATATGTCAAACTTAAATCCATAAGTGATGTATCCCTTTTACCTAAATCTGTATACATCTTATAGACAGTTCTTCAAATTCGACTATTACTTTTCACCAATTAATTATATGTCAATTTTGTATAGAGACACACTGTACAAGTCTGTTCGTGTAGTATATGGTTCATAAGGGGGTGGCGGTATGATAAGACGTAAGGGGATGGGTTTATTTTTATTTTATTGGTATTGATTTGATTTTTAGATATACCATATAATTGCACTGGCCTACACTAGATTTGGTAGTTGGAATATTAACATAATATCTAAAATTTATTATTAATGCTGTTATATAACAAGGTCCATTTCTGAAATGTGAATCCAAATTTAGAAAACATATTCTTTGATTTTGCTCTTCAGGAAAGCTCTATATAAAATGTAATACTAGTAACACCAATTTACGCATAATTCAAGATTTTATAGCGTGAATAATAATTCCTTATTCACATTATTATTCTCCTTTACTGTACTTCAAGGAGATTCTTGTCTGTTACCATTATACTACAGTAGATCACCTGTCCATGCCTAAACAGGTGATTTCTTATTTTACCTGGCTTGTCAACCATTAATGTCAAATTTGTGATTTCTGGCTAAGAAAATGTTTGTATAGAGATCAATTTAGCATGGCATTGTTATGTTGTTAGTTATATACAGTACAATAAAGTTGATATCATTGGATAGAGGTTAGCACTTAAAAAGTTCATTAAATTGTAATTTATATATAAAGTATTGGCGGACTTCAATGACAGATGGGGAGACGGACAGACAGACAAACAGCAATGAATACTGTACATAATAATAATAATAATATTAATATGTCGTTCTTATATAGCGCTTAATGCCTTAACAAGGCCTCTAAGCGCTTCACATTACTACCCCGGTCATTGGATCAAACACATATGGAACACATTGAACACCAAATTAAATTATTAAATTAAATTATATTATTATTCCATAATATTGCGGCTAGTGATCAGTGCAGTTGTGTTGGAACCTACCAGGTACCCACTTGTACTCCTGGGTGGAGAGGCAACCATAGATAAAGTGCCTTGCCCAAGGACACAAGCGATTTGCACAGCGAGAGTTTCGAACCCCCGACCTCGAGGTTGGGAGTCCAAGCCACAACCGATGTGCCAACCGCTTCTACATAACCTCCTTAGCGGTGGTAAAAGTAAAATTAGTTAGCATTTATGCAGTGCAAAATAATAACAGGAATAGGGAGAATATTTTATAGAGTACTGTATTTTATATTTTTCTATTTTTTCCCCTCTAGAACTATGTGTGGAACACCAAACTATATAGCCCCTGAGGTACTGGGAAAGATAGGCCACAGCTTTGAGGCAGATGTCTGGGCGTTAGGCTGTGTATTGTAAGTTATGAATTTGAAACATGTTGATACCCATAATGACAATGATAATTAAGGCTATGTTCTCACACGGCTGCTAACGGTTAGCAGAATCCGGATCCTGCTAACCGTTAGCTGCCATGCGTCCATAAGAGAAGATCCCGATCCGGATACCAAGAATATGATGATCGAATCACTGGCCAATAAGAAACTGGAAATTGTAAATGCGTACGTATGATTGGTTGATAATAAAAACGTGCTCACTTGCTAACCGATAGCGCTAACCGTTCGGGCGTTCTCACGCAGGTGCTAACGGTTAGCGCTAATGGTTAGCTCCCGATCCGGATACTAGGGCTCTCGTGAGAACCAAGCCTTTGAAAAATATGTAGATGGTGATGATGATGATGATAAAGAGGATGACATTGCTAAGAATGATGATAATAATGTATCTTGTTTTGAGAACTTCGATTTTGAAAGTTCATCAGATTCTTGATCAAATGTGATTTAGATAATGATGTCTATAAAGATGGTAATAACATTGACAATGATAAAGAATAATGATGAGGATTTTAATGATGATAACAATCTTGATGGTGGCAGATGATATATGGATGATAATAATGGTGATAATGGAATACAGTATGTGTTGCTATGCCATAATTGAATATGCGTTTGTTTCAGATACACCATGCTTGTAGGGCGACCACCATTTGAGACCACCAGTCTAAAAGAAACTTACACAAGGATAAAACATAATAAATACTCTTTTCCGGATACACTTTCATACGACTCTAAGGATATCATCTCCTTGTTACTGACCTCTGAACCAGAGGACCGACCCTCCTTAGAAGAAGTACTCCTGCACGACTTCTTTGTGAGCGGGTATATCCCTGAAGTGCTTTCACCGACAGTCTTCTCGACTGCGCCTCATTTCCCAACCACCAAAGTATTGATGAGTGACAGTTCTGGGGAGATTGTGCGTAACGAGTTCTGCCGGTTACGACGAGAGAGTACTATGAAGCACGACAACATGGAAGCTGCCATGAGTGAGATAAAGGCAGCAAGGGAAAAAAGCACCCACTTGGTAATAGCCAATTTTTCATAATTTTTATATAATTATACATATAATAACACTTCTTGTTTTTAACTGTAGCTATCACAAACTGCCAGTGGTATTTAACATTATTTTAAAAGATTTTTAAAGAAGTTAAACAAAACCTGACCTTGATTCAGTGTTTTGAACTTGCATAGCTTCTCTTTTGTTGAAGTTTTCGATGGTTCCTATTGATTATACTATTATATTATAACATCTGTGTTGGGTTTCTGTTATCTGCTTATTTCTCCCTTTTGTCAAAGTTTGGATTGGATTTGAATTGGATCTGCAATTGCAGTTATAATAATGATATTTGGGTCTTGTATAATGTAAGTAGACAAAGTTCCTTATGTCTCACACTGCAGCCCCTTACACAAAATATTTTGTACTATAACAGATGCCAGGCAATAGCTCTACTCCCAGGTTGCGTCCTAAACTCCATGTCACCATTCCTGGAAGCAGACCTGTTGACCTAGAAGCTGTCAGGGAGAAATCTGGTAAGGTCTACATTATGCTCAAGGCTTTTTCAAACTTTTGTTTACTTGGTTGATGTTAGCATCCACAAAGATAATATGCAGTCCTGATTGTAATACACAGCAACACTTAGAAAATGGCACAGACTCAGAAGTCAAAACCCGGGGCTGAAACATTATTTGAGCCACTTTACAGACCGTTAACATTGAAAGCTAAGGTGTCTAAGCCTTGCCAAATTTGCCAGAAGCAAATCCTACCCACTTATAATAAGCAGCATTCCATTGCACGACAATGAGAGGACCTGGAACGTAAAGTCATCTGCACGTGCGAGAACGTTTTCCTTGTCGCCGGCATTCTAGGATGCAATTTGGCCCAAATCTATGTTGTGCAGAGAACGTAGGAAAGTCACATATGAGTAATCCATTCTAGAATTACATTGATGCATATTTGTATCATATTAGGATAAGACAGAAGAGGATTGATTTTTTTTGATTTTTTTTTTTTGTTCATCGTTATTTATTTATTCATTCATTTCAGAATTTAATTACAAATCAAAGCATACAGTAATGCTATAAACAATAATCATGTTTTTTTTTTTTTTGTTTTTTTTTTTAAAAAGCTCAGGGACAGCCAGTGTAATGAACTTGCTGGCCCTGCTGTACTATTTTGTATCATAAATATTAATTTTTATAATACAAAAACATACATTATGAAGGCTGCTTCTACAGGTGTTATTTTTCGTTTTACAGGTGGTTCACCAGTTAAACCTGCAAATTACTCTGTTTCCATTGTTGCAGTCAGTGAGATGCTACGCACCTGTCTACGCCATATGCCAAAAGGTTTGTTGACATTTATTTACTCATACTCACAATAAATCAAAATTATTCTACTTTTTCGGAGGATTCCATGATTCATTATTGTTAGTATTATTATTATTATTATTATTATTATTATTATTATTATTATTATTAGTAGCCTTTGTAAGAATACTTGGTTGTCAATGACACACGTTATATTATATATTCAAAATACCATACTAGGAAAAAAATACATTATTGGGGAAAGGAATTCACTATTATGACCTGTTAGTAGAAAGCAATGCAAATGAAATGGAAGTGTAACCTTGGTGGTAAAGATTTTTTTTTCATTCTTTTGTTCCTTGAATTGTAAATGCAGTTATATATATTTGGCTGCATAAATATATTAAGATTAAGAATAAATGAATATTTATTCCACTATTTGAACATAGGAAAAAGACTTTCAAATTTGACAAACTAATCCTTTTTTTTTTTTTTTTTTTGCTTGTTTTGCCATGTTCAGAGGAGTATTTGCACACACCTAGGTATAAAGCTATTGGGGATGAGGTGTTGTGGGTACCAAAGTGGGTCGACTACTCCAACAAGTACGGGTTCGGTCACCAACTTTCAGATAAGAGTGTTGGAGTTATATTCAACGATAAGTCAAGAATATGTTTTCATCCTGATAGGATGTAAGTATGCTACCTTCCCACACTGACTAAAGACAACTCTGTAGTGAGTGTAATGTGAATGAAATACAAATAAGTATTTATAGATAGGCTTACTCTTATTATAACATTGAGAGTGAGGGCAGCTTAGTTCAGTCAGCTAAACTGGTGATCGCTTGCTCTCCTTGTGTTTCAGCTAGAGGGCTGAAACACAAATTTCTGGAAACTTAAAAAGCTGTTGGGCCTGCGTGCAATACGGCCCATGTGCATGTTTAAAAGGACAGGGTACTCATTGGAAATAGGTAGGGGATTGTCTCCTGGTTCCTGTCTTCATTATCTTCATCGGGATTAACCAATCTCATTGCACCGTTTTTAATTTAGGTTTTTAATATATGCAGATTCAGCTTCCAATTTTGCATTCCATATTTTTCCATTGTCTTTCTAGTTCAGTGCAATATTTATCAAATGACCACAGAGTACATACCTTCCGAATGTCTTCGATTCCACCACGACTCTCAAAGAAAGTTACCCTACTAGATTACTTCTCAACGTACATGGACGAACACCTCATCAAGGTAAGATGCTCACAATTACCATATTTTTGCTTTCTCGTGAATTATGTTGGACAGATGGTTAAATCGTCGCTGGTACGTAGTTTAGAAAACTAGTTAAAAGGTACCGATTTCTTTAATTTTTACCATACAATTACCAATTTTAAGTAAATGTATGTATAGTTGGAACTTGGTTTAGTCGAATCCAAAATGGCATTGAAAAATTGTTTGACTTATAAAAAATTTGACTTACAGTTTGTTAATTAATGGAAAACACAACAATTTGGCATGTAAAATAAGATCGACTTAGAAATTATTTAAGTTAGGCAAAGTCTACTTAGACAAGTTTAACTGTAGTAATATAACCATGATAAGGATAAATGAGGTGATTATAACTATGAATGCAAATTCCCATATAATTTTTTTGCTATACAAACTTATTTTTAGGATGAAAATTGGTAGTGGGTAGATTTCAAAGCCCAAATAATAGGCTTACTTTATTCATCCTAATACAGAGGAATTACAAATTGAAATCCTAGGATAATATTCTGGTATATGAAGACAATTTATTACTATTATTTGCACTCAAAACTGCCATCATTTGGCAGGCAGCATGTTCAAACCATGCTTATGCAATTCATTCATTAGGTTGCTATTGTGGTTTTTCACAACATTTTTTGGTAATAGACCACAAAACTCTCATGGCCAATGATTGCTTTTTAAGTGAGTAGGTTTGTCAGAAGTGGGTTGTTGCTAGTGAACAATACACAAAGCTTTACAACCAACAATGAAAATAAAAATAGACATCAATTCATTGCGAAAATATTTTGTGTAGGTTGTGACATTTGTAATATTTTTTTTTACATAAACAGAAGTGAATTCCATAGTAAAGCACCACTATATAAAATATTGGGCCTTTTATATTCAGTTGTAACATTAGAGTACTACATCACAGAGTGATGAGTGCCTCCATCTAAGCTATAGTTTTAATTGATGTATCATAGCTAAATCATTTTTAATTAAATTCATAAAAAACAAAAGCTTACCATATTAATTATTTATTATTTAATTTAAATCAATCAATTTTAATCAACACAAACAACAAGATACAGATAATGATATTGTAGTATCATTTAGCGGTATTGACCAAGTCAGTAGCGATTCATAGTAACAAAAGGGTTTTGTTCTCTGAAGATACACAAATCTAGCTATAACAAAAGCAAAATATCTTTTGATATCTTGTTTTTCAAGGCTGTGTTTTTTTTTGGGGTTTTTTTTTTTTTTTTTTTAGGTGACGGGGGGGGGTTGTAAAACATATCCTCTGATGCTTTGTCAAAAATTTGAACTAAAAGCTATGAAGCCCTGTCAAGACTCAAATTTTATTTGTATGCCCATATATAGTCATGATGTGCCTATATTTAGTTATGATGTGATGTCATCATGACCATATTTAGGCATGTTACATGTTTTGTCTGGCCAAGGCTTTATAAAATTCACAGTACTACAGTTAAACTTGCCTAAGTCAACTGCCTAACTCAAAAGTTAAACTTATTTTACATGCCAAATTGTTGTGTTTTCCATTAATTAACAATCTATAAGTAGAATTTTAGTCGAACAATTTTTCACTAGCATTTTGGATTCGACTTAGGCAAGTTCAACTGTACTTCATTTGTTTCTATTTATTTACATTTACTGTAATGTATTTATATAATGTTATTATGTAAATATTTTTAATGTAAATATATAGTATTTATATAATTCTGTTATATGCCACATAAAGTGGTGTTCTTGGTACTCCAAATCATGGCTTGACGCTTCAATAATTATCATTTAATATGTTATGTTATGCAGATGATTGAACGAAGAATGAAATTTGCATCCAACTGACATGCCAACATGATTTATATCTTGTGATGTGGTGATGATGATGATTTCTTTCCCTTTTTTTTTTTATTGTTTTGCAATCATTAAACTAATCATGCTCTCTGTTCATTTTACATTTTTATTTCAAACCCACCCCTTATTTGCATCATGGAAGGGTCCAGAAACAGGCATTACAGTAGTGACTCCACAGGATGCAAAGGTGGACTATACCATATTTTGGGGATTGCATGTTGATGTATAATTTAATTGCATGATTTGATGAAAGTAAATTTTTTGCATGGAATGACCACTTAATTTTATCTTAAGCTTCTGTTTGTAATTTGGTATTTCCTATTCATTTTAACTACTTCATAATTCATTGTTGTATGTGTATGTTTTGTTATTTCATATGGTTATAAAACATAATATACATCCATATTTGAAATTAAGAGTGAACTAAAATATTTTAAAAAAATCTCAAGTATATAATAAAAAGCATTATATATAAAGTGCAATATGCGATTCTATGTGATAAAAAGCTGTGACATGCCCATATTTAGGTGTGATATGCCCATATTTAGGTGTGATATATCATCATTCCCATATATGGGCACATCACACAAATTTGTCACATACAATTTCATAGTGTGGACAGCCACAGAATATAAATTCCAGTACTGCTCATTTCCTTGAGTAGCAAGTTTTGTTATTGTTAAGTTCGTGCTGGGTATTACCTGAGGCCTTGATGCTCCAGAGAGAGCAGCTTAGCTTAGTTGGCTAAATTGGTGGTAGTCCACTGTTTGTGTGCTGAACCGTGGAGATCTCTTGGTCTGAGGTTCAATTCTCATCGCTGCTCTCCTTGTATTTCAGCTGGAGGGCTGACATGCAAGTCCTGATATCACACCGTCTTTCGACCCAGTGTGCATTATGGCCAATGTTCACGTTAAAAAACACAGTACACTCTTTGAAAAAGAGCAGGGAATTGTCTCCCGGTGTTACTGCCCAATTCACTACCAGAAGGACCCCACTGGAAACAAATCTTCTGACTTAGTGGGTTTCACACCAGAAATACTCCTATCATCCTATCCTGTCCTCCTGTTGAGGACATTGTCATAACTTGTTTGCTCTTGTTAATTTGGTTTTTATTTTCTTTTGGCAGTTTAAAATTTTGATTGTTTTAGCTTTGTACACAGTTGATTTGATGTGTTAGAATACTGTAGATGTTTTTAGACTTTAAAAATACTGTACACTTTAAGTAATTAAAGCATAATCAACAGCACATTGATATCTCCTGTAAATAGGTCTTGATATTTTTTCTTATAAACATTTATTCATCTATGTTATAATATTCATTTATACATCCTTGTATTTATTGATTTAAATTCATTTATTCATTCATTTTTCATGAATATATTTTTCTTTCATTCATTCATTCTTTTATATTTTGTTCATTTATTCTCAGGCAGTAGCATTAAATAGAATTTCAATGGAAAATTTATCATGAATTTACCGTTTGTTTGAATTGTAAGAAAACAATTTCATAGATTAAATATCATTTTAACTTCACTCTCTGAAATGTATGTAGACTAGAAATGCATTGTCTGACTTCTAGGCAAATTAGCTGTAACTTATGTTCAATATGTGGTCAAGATGTTCGTTTACTTATTCTTAGTATCACATTTTTTTCACGGTACATGTGTCACGTTGCTAGTGCATGCCACTTTCATTTGTGCGACTGCTTCGGGAAATGCCTGTCACTTCAGCTGTGGAAATTATTGTTTAATATTCTAATCATTCTCTTGAGAACTTGCATAAAAATTTGAAATTTAAGATGAGTTGCAGGTTGCTAAATGAGAAGCTGTTGTGTTAGCCTTATCATGGAGTATTTACATTATTTCAGTTGCTGGTCATGTGCTGCCCTTATCACCAATTGGCTTATAGAGGGATGTTTGCATTTGCATTGAGCATGAAAAGTTATGCAAACAATATAGGAGCCATAATATTTATGCTTCTCTTAAATGGCAAAGAAAATATTTCCTCATTAGAAATTCCCAATTCAATATGCCAGTAATTTTAATTTAACTTTAATTAAATTTAATTTTTAATTTTAATTTAATTTTAATTTAATTTTTATCTAGGGAGGAGATATAGCATGGGACGCCATGTCACCGATTCCCAAAAGAAAAGCAACATCTCCTAACCCAGCTCCAACAGTACAACCCTATTTGGTAAAATGGTACAGGACTGATAAAGCAATAGCAATGTATCTTAGTAATGGAACATTCCAGGTATGTGTGAATATTTAATTAATGTGTTTATAATAATTGTAAAATAATTGTAATGCAAGCATTGCTTTGTATGTTTTTTCTACCATGGTAAATTTTAAAAGCTATTTCATGTACGTTTTATTAACAAAAATTGTTCTCATTACAATTAATCTGTTTCTTACAGCTCAATTTTTTTGAAGACCACACTAAAATAATTCTGAGTTATAACAACAGTGATCATCTCTTAACATATATTAATGAAGACCGTATATCAAGCACGTACCGTCTGCTACACATCGCTCATCATGGATGCACAGCGGACATCTATTCTCGGCTTGTCTATACACGAGAGGTTCTCGATAAATTAGTAGCAACAGAAGAGGAAGAGTAGCGTGGATTTGCATTCATATCCAGAATTTTTTGTAAGATAAGAAGGAATAAAGAAAGTTTTTGGGAATCCGTGCAAAAACTTATTTCACAATAGAGTAGTGTACTGCCCTCATGCCTTTCTTTGCGGTTAATTTGCAGAAGAAAAAGGAAGAAGGAAATGTACTATTAAATTAGAGGAAGAAAAACAGTGGTAATATTTAGCAAAGAACAATTCTTTATGATGTACACTAACAGCAATTCATTGTTGATGCAAAGTTCTTTAAAAGTGCTGAGTTCTGGGACTGAAAATGGATTGCAAAATTAAACAGTATTACAATTATCGGATTCGCTGCAAGAAATTTGATATCCAGTATGTAGTACTTAGAACAATAATACTCTTGAGGTTTCCTGATAATAATGCAGGCAGGTTTAACATTTCTGATAAAACCCTATTCAAACTACACTTTTATTGCAGTGTGATTGTCAGGAGAACAGTTTGCCAATCGTGCTGGTTGGGTGCATTCAGACACAATTGCTAAATGGCTACAGCATAAATCATCATTATAGGAGAAGCGGCAGCAGGCAAGTCAGCTAGGTTTAAAGTAAACACAGTCTTTCATATGTTTACGATGGTACTTGACGAACAAAATTTAAAAGTAGAATGATTCATGTTTTGAAGTATTTATGGCTAATAAAATATGTTACTGTATTGAAAAAGCAAAACAACCATGGAAACAGACTAAGAAACTTGCATGAAACATTGGTTTTGTGGTAAATTGTGTCGTGCTATGATGTCATACAATATTGCAGTTCATTGCACCAAGTAATGCCGGACACTCATTGCGGCCAACTGGCATTGGCCGACGCTATTCCATGGAGGACACAACGCGCATGACGATAAGTTGAGACTGCCACTGACAATCAGTAGGCGCTTTTGCATCGTCTAACATTCACAGGGAGTTTGGCGTCGTCGTACAATGGTCAATCGACACAGTGAGAGCCCGGCATAACAGTGCATAATCAATGCCAATAACAAGAAAATATTGGTGTGCACTTAATTGGCATCAACTAATTGCAACAAAATTGTAGTTTGAATAGGAAACAAGTCTTTGTAGTTGACAGGGTGTATCATAGAGTACATTGTGAATGAGGCAGATGTAAATGATGCTATCCACGATATCATAGCCTAACAATTGTGGAGAATGCAGGATGTTGCTTTTTTAGCATCAATGAACTTCCACTCAAAGTACATCAACCTGTAAAATACAGTTTTTTTCTATGATTATAACTGAAATATTAATTATTTTTTTCAGGTATTGTTTTTAAATTTTATTTTTTACTTGTGTGTTAATGGTGTTACGAATCCCACCTCATGAATAATGCATAATATATAAACTTGTTTGAAAGACAAATGTTTTGTAAATCTCTGTCCAGACTATCAAATCTTCTTTGACAAAAATTGTTGTATACCCATATATAGTCATGATGTGCCCATATATGGTCATGATGTGCCTATATATGGTCATTATGTGATGTCATAAACTTAGGCATGTCACATGTTTTTGTCAAATGAATTTTGATGGTGTAAACAGGGCTTTAGCCTGTAAAGCCAGTATAGCAACCGTTATGTATCTTACTTTATGCTTCCTACCTCAAGATATGAATATTTATGCGCCGTTATGGCTAAAGAAAATTATAAAGACTGCTATATTAATTTGTGTGTGTTGTGCTAAGAAAAATACAAACTGCCTACAACAGGAATTAGAGATTTAATTTATCAGTATTATTAGAAACAAATTTGATTAATGTTAGGAGTAGAAATTAGTTATCAAATGAAAGTTGTGTATGTTATTGTTGCATTGATGGAGAATTATATTAAGAGAAAAATTTCACTTATATTTATTAGGAAATAAGGTAAGAAATTGAAAATTCTTACAGGTAATTTCATTGTGTTTCATTTTGGTAAAGCAGGTAATACCAGTATTTTCTTAACATAAAATTGTGGAAAAGCCCCGTTATGTTTTATGTGTTCCTATTTCCAACAGATCGTCTCCATTATTGTCCACATTGCTTGTACAGGGTCCCAAGTCTCCCCGAAGTCGTGGGAGTCTCTTTGAATTCGGGACAGTCTCCCACAACCAGACAATAATCTCCGGGAAAGTAACCGAACTGCATGGTTTTACTACCGTAATAATAATAATAATAATAATATTAATATGGGTAGACTTATAGAGTGCATTATGATAAGCCCTATATGCGCTTCATATTATCATTACCCCGGTCGTTGGTTAATACCCATTTGTTATCAATTGTCTCATGGAAGGCAGTGTTGGTATCGCCATAAGCAGCAAAACAAAATCTGATGAAAGCTTGTTTAAATAGATCTCCTGGAAAAGACTTTTTCTAACTTTACAACCCCTGCTTGATTCAGAATTATGTATTGACCAATTAAGATTCTGATTAATAAAAAGAAATATGGCTTTTTTTTAATAACTTAGATGAGGTTGATTTTCACTTAAGCCATATCTATGACTTTAAAACTATAGTGAAACCCAAGGGATTGGTGGTTAATGGGGGAACTTGTAATGGTAGTCAGCAATCCTCATAAAGTATTGTCTCCACCCAATGAAATTGTAGCAAACACAGCCTAGCAGATTTATTACCATTGGTAGTGTATTTATCTATAAATGAGTCCACAATCAGAAGATTTACGGCATACAGTATGAAATTGTATACTTGCTTTTAAATTCAATGTTATAAAATAACAAAATGTCAAGGAGGCATTCGAATTTCAATGATATAAAATAACAGAACCACTTAACAGTAACAATGTAATTGAAACCTTATGCTGTACAATAAAATGAGTGTTTCCAATTTGTATAGCTAAAAAATATACTGTGTATGTTTGGATAATAAGCTTGAACAGTAAATTAAACATCTCAATTGTTTAATTTGTATATTTAAGGCAATTATTATCTTCCAATTGAAAATTGGAATCAGAAAATCATTCATCATGGTTATAATAATAAACATAAAATTCATGTATTATGTTGTTTCTGTCTCAATAATGTTTTTTGTTGGGACTATTTTAATATTAAAGCCCTGTCCAAACTATCCAATGTTGTTTGACAAAAACATGTGACATGCCTAAATATGGTCATGATGACATCACATCATGACCATATATAGGCACACCATGACTATATATGGACATACAACAGTTTTTTGTCAAAGAACATTTAATAGTGTGAACAGACACTAATACAAGTATTCAACAGGAAATAATGTTACACACATCCACTGCTACATTGAATCTGTGTGAATGGGCATTATGTAAGCTTAGCAGAAGCGAGTGGCGCAGGGACATAGCCAGGATTTTGAAAGGGGTGGGGAGCCGTTATGCGAGGTAAGTAGGACCCCGTGGGGGAGGGGTTCCAGGGGAGAACATTGCAATAAATGCATCATAAATAATATTAGTACTCTCTTAATGTGAAAGAGTGAATTTTCATTTAGAGAGCCTAACAATAATTATATAAAACTCAACAGTGGGGGATCCAGGAATTCAATAGAGACTTAAATATGGATAGGGGATCTATATTTTTCTTTTTTTTTCCATTAAAAAAAATTAGGGGGAGGGGGTCTTCAATCCACCAATGCTAAAAAAATTCTTTATCCAAATAGTCAAAAAAAAAAAAAAAATGGGCATGTAAAACCAGATCACATCCTAAAAACAAATTTATGCACTCCTACCTCATCAGCAGTCACTAAGACATGGTACTCTGGATCAGGTGTCTACTCGATGGAGTTTAATGTTATACCCAGTAAGGGTGCAATCTGTTTTGAAATGTGGAGGTGGGGTGGGAGGATATGGACGATTGTTTGAAATAAAATACAGTAAACTAATAATTAAATATTTAACTGGAAAGTAAATTTAATCAAGAAAAAATTCCTACTCCTAGGCCTACTAGTACAAATCTGTCGTAAAAAAACCCACCAAAATAATATATATATTCGACATTCCCAAAGGTGGAAAAAGGCTGGGTGGCATCGAGCCTGGGTGGCAAAAGGCCCGGTGGCAACGGGCCTAGGGTGGCAACAGGCCGGGTGGCAACCTTGGTGCGAAAATTTGAGGAAATAGTACCCCTAGATGGCTGGAAATGACACTTTTATATATTAAAATTCATCATCATCACATCACCATTATATAGTCAAAATGAAGCGCCAACAAATTTCTCATATACTTTTATCAGGGATCTACTTAATATCCAAGACAAATTAGGCCTAACTATAGCTTACTAAGCTTTAACTATATTATAATAATTGTGATCAACAAATCACAACTTACTTTTTCGCCTTTAGAACAATTTTTTCACTTTTTCATATTATTAATATTAATATCTATTATCACCATCGTCATCATGATCATTGTCATCATCATTATTATTATTATTATTATTATTAGTAGCTGTAGTATTAAAACAAAACTTTATAAAGCTTGCAAAATGATAAAAACCAAACTGAACCATAAACCGAAAGGTCCACTGATTAATAAGAAAGTAGGCTATAATATATACAGTACTCCAAGTATTGAAATACACGCCATCGTGTTGGGATTCAGTATTTCGACATTAATTCAACATTTCGACATTAATTATGTCAACATCATATACTGAACCATAGAATATCAAATTTCTGTATCTGAAAGACCTGGCCTGGGAATTACAGATTTAAGATTTTTAAAAATCACGATTAGGCCTATGTGTTATTATAGTAGTAGGCATATGTATAACGTGTGCTGATGCATATTTACATAGGCCTAGATTAGAAGTATTTATTTTTAGTGATCCTGGGAAAGAATTTGTATTTGCTAGCAAGAACAAGCTTAAAAATGTTAACACTGTGTAGAGGGGGGGCCGAAATTTGGGCCGATCGAGACAACAATGTCCTAGGGGGTCCAGGGACATGCCCCCGCGAAATTTTTGTGTTCTAGACGCCGGAAAATAACATTTGAGGCGTTGTGGGCTATCATTTTTTTCTTTTTCTTTCTTTTTTTCTTTCTTTTTCTTTTTTTACCTCCCAAAAGGGGGCCGGGGCCGGGCCGCCCCCCCCCCTAAATCCGCCCCTGAAAGAATTTGTATTGGCTAGCAAGAACAAGCTTTAAAATTTTAACACAGTGTGTACAAAGGTTCGGAGGGAGCTGCGGCTCCCACGGCTCCCCCATACGTCCCTGGTACGTCATTTAATTCACTGACACGCTACTAAACATTAATCAGTATGCCTATTCATTTTTGTTTGTGTAAGTAATGAAATGTTTGTGTACATAGTTCGGGTGCTGAAATTAAGTATTTTGCAGAAACACATGCGTGATCATAAATTTGTTACTCATTTAGCGCAGGTCTATGCGTAATAACGAATTGTCACAAATTCAGGGGAAAATATATTTAAATTAGAAGAAATTGGTTTTATTACAAATATAAGAACGGTCTTGATGCAGTTTAAACTTGAGTCAGTAGACAGTATTTACGTGACTTAATTCACTGACGCGCTACTAAACATTAATCAGTATGCCTATTCATTTTTGTTTGTGTAAGTAATGAAATGTTTGTGTACATAGTTCGGGTGCTGAAATTAAACTTAATTGTATGTGTCTTTATTAAAAATATTTTTGTACCTGGTATTGTCAACAAACACTCCTTGAAATCAATTTAAAACAGCTTAAAATGCTCAGATCCTCAGGGCTCCACCTCTAGACCCCAGGCCCTGCCCTCCCCCAACAAACTGGTGTACTCACGCATTACAAATTTTTAAGGTTGGTAACTATGAACAAAACACGATTATGAAATTAAAACTTGAAAATTTGGCCAATTTTCTGCAAAAGAAGTTTTGCGTTCTGGTGGCACCTACAGCTGCTTTAAAAAACTTATTTTTATTTTTTATTATTCAAAGTCTCGCATTTCATTTGCTTTAAAGTTTATAGATAGAAACGCCTCTAGACATTTCCAATTGTTTCATATTCATCATTTGCATATTTTATAATATATTTTAACACAATTTTAGTAGCCTTTATTTTTATTTGATTTATACTTTTAAGATAATACTAAATGTTCATTAAAATCACTAAAATTTATTTTATTAAATAAGGCAAAAAAAAAGCAAATTTTGCTGTACAATAATACAAAAAATTGGCCATAATGTATCCTCATTGATTGCTGCTGCAGGATATAACACCAATACCATACGTACAATTGAACCAAATATATTCTAATCACATGTAAAATATAATCACCTGACTCTCTCCCTGACGGGTTCCGGGGTCGACGAGGCTTCTTGTCGGTTATACGCCGGTAACCCTACGCTGAGTCTGGGCCCGGGTCTTGGCGAAGGCCCGAGCCTTGGCGAGGTTGGGTACTTAGCCTTGCGGCATCATATGATGATTGCTTGGCGGTGATACTTGACAGGACTAGGCGATTAACAGACTGCAGGGGAGATGCACAGGGAGTCTCGGTCAACTGACAGGCACTCGGGATGGCTATGCTAGGTTCAGTGCATCATCATGGCTTAGGGGTCGCACTGCTTCCTCCCTCCGTTCAGTTCACTGGGGCCGAGCAAGTAGCTCTATCGTGCATTTAAGTGACCAGCGTACGAAGAGCGAAAACTTGAATACTAAAGAACAGAAACACACTTTTACAGACATGGTATTCACTCGCAGGGGTCTCAAGAACGTTAACACCCGCTCTCTGGATGTTGAACATGCTGAAACTGAAAACTAAAACGGAGTTACTTTTTCCAAGCTGTTTTGTGGTAATGTTTTTTGGTCATTTCTCCATTCACAAGGTCCGTAAGTGCCACAGAACACGGTAGTATATATTTAGGTGAAACATAACATAAAGACCAAAAACTTTCTTTTCTAAGTTTAAAAGATCAAATGGAAACCACTTTTCCGTCGATTTTGACACAGATCCATGTCATATAGAAATATTTACTAGTTAAATTTAAAAAAAATAATAATAATAATAAATAATCGTTTTTCCGTGAAAAAATCGCACAATCACACAGTTTTCACGATGTTTCTATGATTTTACGAAAAAAAAAAAACCCTTTTTCCACCCGCCCCTGTATTCAAATTTTTACAATGTGACAGCAAACAAACAATTTTTTTAGGCCTGATAATCATTGTTGATGATGGTGGTGCAGATGATTATGGTTAAGATGATGATGGTGAAGATGATCAGGCACGTAACAGGGGTCTTGGGTCAGGGGGGGCAAAGGTAATAATTTTCCCGATTAGTAATTTATCATACCCACCCCACCCCCTAAATATACAAAACAATACAACATAGGGAGTATCCTATAATATAGGCCACACACGTGTGTTTGAAACTAAATATAAGCATTTTCATCATGGTATTATTTATTACAAACATACGGTATTCTTTCATCATCAATACACATTGATCAGAGGCCCTTCTTTTAGGTAAAACGATCTATCTTAAATGTTCTTTCTATTTGAGTTTGTATTATTATGTGTTCGATTAAAAATCTCAGATAGAGCTTAATAGAAATAAAACAATAGCAGATGAACTTGGTTACTTCATATATTTAATCGCTACAAATCTGTTTCATATGACCACACGGGGCCACACTCATCAGGCGAATTGTAAAACATGAATGACACAATATCCCAGGGTTTATAACTAAGTATATATAAAAACCTTGAAATGAGAGATTAACATAAGCATATGAAATACATGTTTATTATCTTATTCTTATTCTTTTAGTTTTCCCTTAGCGACACTTCTTTCGCCTTAAGGTACTGTTTTTAACCCTCTTCATTGTTTTAGTTTCCCCCTATGGATACTTCTAATCTCCTATATACTATATACATACATGTATATATATATAACCTTGAAATGAGAGATTAACATAAGCATATGAAATACATGTTTATTATCTTATTCTTATTCTTGTTCATTGGGAACATGGGTCACTCATGGATTTATCAACATAGTAAATTCATTGTTTCTCCTACTGAATAAAGTACCATTTGATTCCACCAGGTAACGATTGATCTGTTTACAAAATATATTGTTCATAATGTTCAGTTTTAAGAGCTTCACTGCTAACTGAAGTATTATTATGTATGTTGCATTTATAGACTCTAAGACATTTTCTTTTCAGGTAGCTTATAGGAGTAATTTTCACATTCTTTCAATACATTCGTAGAAGTGAATGACACAGAAGCAGCCAACTATAAAGTCAGGGGTTGAAATTCCACATTGTCCATTCATTTGTGTCCTCTTGTCAGTGGTGGCTCTAAAATATATATTCCATGGGGCCTTACAATTTTAGATCAGGACAGCCGTCTACAGTGTCAATGTAATTGTCCTTTTTAGGGAGTCCAGGGCAGAGCCTACTTTAACACATATTTTATATATATAAAAGCCTTTGAAAACCGTAATTGTCAAATTTTTCAGCAGGCATTTGTGTTTAATCTACATCCAGTAAATGGGATTCTGTGAAATGAATAAAAATTTATTCTGCATTTAATGAAAAATTTGATGCATATTTTAAATATGCATCAAATTTTACATTAAATAGACATGTGTTTATACAATTCAGTACATGTGGTAAGGTTGTTACATATTTAAGTACTCTTTTGTTGCAGATGAATTGCAAATGCACTCAACAAAAACACAAAACTATTAGCTATGTGAAAATTCAATAGAAAATCATTTAATTTCACACTTTTATATACATACGTAATTATGTTTTCTGTACAGATTATTATTATTATTATTATTGTTATATAAATTGCATTATGTTGGTTCTTTTTTAAATAAGAAATTCTGTGATCTTGCAAGTGTGCGGATGAAGACGGGAAGCATGACATATCACATTGAATTTTAAATAACATTATTTTAGGGGCAATACTCGGCAATATAAATGTTTAATCAGAAATTAGACAGTACAGTATATTATTCAAATCCAGAGATATTAGATGATTGATGTTCAGCTGCCAACATGTGCTGTGAGTGCAAAGAATCCTTCGTCGGTCCCCTGAAAGAAATTAAAACACAAATATTTAAAGATAATTATAACATCTTGGTTGAGCTCATGAAATCAAATAAAATGCAGTTGAACCAGGCCCCAGTGTCCCGGTCAACTGTCCCCAGCTTTCAATTTTTAAATTACTTGTTTTGTTATTCCTGTTTTTTCTCCTTGTGTTTACATGATGGAAAGCAACAAATTATTATGAAAAAACAAGCCTTTCAAATCCTTAAATTGTCAAGAGTTTCCATGGGACACACTCTAAGGGATTCTGGGCTGCCTCAGCCAACTCATGCTCCAGTTGGAAAAATTGACATTCCCCCTCCCAACCCAATTGGGGATGTCAAACTCTCCATCCGGAATATCCTGGGATGACCACTGTTAACTAAAAGAGCTAGTGCTTAATTGAAATAGACAAAGAAAATATTTTCCTTTCCAAATAACAGATGCATAAATAATACCATTTTATATAAAACCTAAAATTGTCTGGTAATAATAGTAACTTAAATGAAAATGCATTCTGTGTCTAATGTGGAAAAATAGCAATTTTACATATTGTAAAATTGTTAATCATAAATGTGACTCTTGAATTGTTGGAAATATTTAGTGAAGTTATTTGCATAATTATAATTGAGTAAGTTTTTTTTATCAAATTCTTTAACACATGATTAACTTTCATGTTGGCAATGAAATCATACCTTTTTCCGAGAATCTGCTAGGGGTGTGCTCCCCTGGTGGATGGTAGTTGGTATACGTTGTTTAGAGGAGAATTTGCCAGCATTTCCTCTACTTGAGCTTTGCCTGTAATAAATATAGAACTTATAATTATAATGCAACATAGAATTTTTTTATCAAAGAAGTTTATCTTTTGAACTACTACGACGACTGTATGCATAGATTGTTAATATGTTATATTCTTCTGTCTCTATGTACAGGTACAAATAAATATATAATAAATATATATCTTTAAAAAACAGTCAGTTAAAAAATCTGGTAAAAAACTAAAATGCTCATTTAAAAGGATTACATAAAATATCAACTTCAAATGACATGTACTGCTAAAAAAATAGTTGACACTAATCAAATTTTTAATTTTTCAATTTTAAATTGAAAGCTAATAAATTACTTAAAATATACAATGTACTCAATTTTTAATGTTTAATTTCAATTTTACAATTCATTAGCTCCACAAAGATGGTGTATCTTTCATTAATAATACCTTTTTTTCAGTTCACTTAAGTTGCTCTTTGGTGATGGTGTGCTAGTGGCCGAGATCTCTAACTCTTCAACCCTTGGAAGAGACACAGTTATTCTTTGACCTTGATTTCCTTCAGCAGTAGAGTGTGGTTGTTGACTTTCAACCTGGAAAGGGATCGGTGAGACAGCTGGTGAGAGTACCAGAGATTCAGTCTGAAGTTGAGCTAGCCGAAGCTTAGCTTGGGCATGCTGATGGGAAAGTGCTTGCATTCTGCGGGTGATGTCCAACTGGGCATCTGATACATTTGATGCTGGGGCAAGTGATGTTTGCAGGATCGGGAAAACTCCATGATCATATATGATATCCTGGGTAGCAGAAGCAGTCTGTGGATGGTTGTCCTGTACTACAGAATTGAGATTGGTCGGTGCATCTTTGCCAGAGGGAGGACTTTCCCTTCCACTTTGATATACTGATGAAGTCAGTTTAGTGCCATGAGAAGTATCATTAATTCCAATGCCTTGCAAAGGAAGACTCCTGTCATACAAAAGATCGCTGGCAGTTTGAGGGGGTTTAAAATCTATTTTGGACATTTCCAGTCTTTCATCACGAAGGTTCCTGTGGGGATGTTTTATACCTTGAGGGTGTGATAGCATGCTTCGATCCTTCTGCCTTGGGGGTGACAACAGAAGAGCTGTTGACGCTGGCTGGACATGGCTCAGCCTACCAACATACATTAGATCTTTCAGAGATCTACCACCAGGCAATGTTGCAGCTTCAATATTCTGAGACCATTCAGGAGTCCATCCATGTATGACATCAGTTGGAGGAGGTTTGCTGGGTAAAGTACTACTAGAGATAGCTTCTTCAGTATTGTCTGGACCATTACCATCATGAATGTTTAAAGGTTTCTCATGAGTATCTTGCGCCTTTACCTGTGTCTTGTGTGGCACTGGACTTTGCTGATGTGAACCTTCTTGTACTTCTGAAAGAAAATGAAGTTTTAAGAAAGATTTAACGGAGAATGTAAGGTAAAAGTTGAACAAAAATAATCTTATGGCTGTAAATGATTTTGATGTTTCTGTGCAAGTGATGTACATAAAAGGTCAAACATAATGCAAAGACTGCGAAAGTAAACAAGAAATATTTGCTATAAATAAAATGCCACAGCAGTAAAAAATAAGTGAGATTAGTCTGATTAATGTTTTTTAACAACAAAAACTTACCATGTTCATATGGTGTTGCCAGAATGGGGTCATGTAGATTAGCTTGTTGATGAGTTCCATCATTGATGTTTAAATTCATAAACTGGTCCTTTATGTTCATAACATCCTGCAAGTATAACATAAGTTTTACTTCTTCAAGTTCACTAACAATGGCATATACAGTGGTGGCTCCAGAAATTTGCCAACAGGGGGACAAAACCAAGAGGTCAGCTAGAGCCTTGGTCAGGTTCCAAGAATAAAAATCCTTCATAGGGTACATGGGGAAAGTGTTTATGGCTTAGTATGTACCAAAACTGTGCTTTTAGATCACATTATTAGGGACTGGCAATCAAAATAACGTTAATAATATTTTTATCGGACAACAGGTGGTCCAGGTCTGTCTGATGCCCCTGACACCACCACCACCACTGATCCAAATCAGGGGCGGATTTGGGGGGGGAGGCCCGGCCCCCCCTTTTGGGAGATAAAAAAAGGGGGGAAAAAAGGAAAAAAAGAAAAAAAGAGAGAAAAAGAAAAAAATGATAGCCCAGAATGCCTCAAATTTTATGTTCGGGCGTCTAGAACACAACAATTTCGCGGGGGAATGCCCCGGACCCCCTACGACCTGTCTCTTATACACATCTAGATGTGTATAAGAGACAGCTTCAACCCTTGGTGCAAATGACTACATAGTAAAGCATCTCAATGGCCATTTTGATAGCAGCTTAATATTGAAAACATGAAAATTACTAATTTTAGTATTCTGTTTAAACTGAGAGCTTTGAAAATAAAATTTAAATATGAAAAGAATGAGTTTCAATCATTTGTTTTTTTTTTTGTTTATTAAAATTACTTACTACAGTGAGAACATCAATGAGAGACTGTTGGTGGTGTAACTGCTCTTGTAATAAGATTCTATGATTACGTTCTTCTTGTAGCTGAAGGTCACTCTAAAAGGTCAAAATTTAAAGAATTTATTACCAAGTAACAGCAATGTAATTAACTGCTCTTGTAATGTAATAAGATTTGATGGTTGCATTCTACTTGTACCTGAAGGTCATTCTAAAAGGTCAAAATTAAAGGAAATTATCACAATGTAACTGGTGTCCTGTACAACAGCAAATGTAATTAACACTTGTAATTGATCATTAAAAGATGGGTTGTATGTCTAGTCTTGAAATTTAGTTTGATGGTTGCATTCTAATGTTTAGCTGAGGGTCAACCTGTAGGTCAAAATTAGAAACTAATCACCATGTAACCATCCATGATGTAACTAATGTCCTGTCCAGTTGTATAATCAACACTTGTAAGGTTATGAAAATTGGTCACTGACTGATTGTTGGTGATGTAACTGCTTTTGTAATTTGATTGAGTTTGTAGGTAAGTCATAATAGAAGGTCAATTTAAAAAAAAAAGTAAGTAATGTCCAGTCACACAGCAGTATAATTAAATTATTAACACTTGTAATGTTATGATGAGATTGTGCGGTAATTTAATTTAATGGTTCTTTTTGTAGCAGAAATCACCATAAAATCACGATGGAACTGACTCTCTTATGTCCAAATGTTGTATGGCTCACATAGGTTCACATCAAGGTCAGTGGGTAGGCTTATGAAGCTACCTGCTTCTTACAGCTCATCGTGGGCGAAGAGCTGTGGATGTTTATATTTAAATAAGTATTGATGGATAAAATGAAGGCTCAAAATTAATTATTAAATCAACTTGTGAGAGCATCTTTGACATCTGTATTATTTTGCAAATTAGTAGTGTTACCTGGGTTAAGTAACCAACCAGTCTCCTGATGGTGTTTAGCAGTGTTGCAGTGTATCCAACTCCTGAGTTATTATCCATGTCACCAGAGGATATTTGTGATGACCTTCTGCCACTCTGCTCCTCATAGGTGGAAATATCTTGCTGAAGGCCCTGCATAACCTATTAACAGTGGAACACAATAAAAGTAACATATAAAAAATATCTACAATGATGTTGATACCTTTGGTTATTTAAAGTGAAAAAGATGACGATGATGAAAATGATGATGTTGTACAATATGAAGGTACAGTGCACCCTCCAATTCGAGACCCCTCTAATTCGAGATGACTTTTACAAAAAAACCAAATAGCAATTTCAATCTATTTATACTAATCTAACTCTCTATGTGGAGACCACCCCAAATTTTTAGATCCCAAAGCCAGTCTCAATTGGAGGGTGAACTGTATTGTATGAACATAAAGCAGTGAATGAATAAATAGAAGAAAGAATGAGTGAATGCATATAGCTTGCCTGAATAAATATTGAATGAACGATGATTTATATCTTTCAAAAAAAATGTTCATCATCATTGTTATGGTAGTGGTGATGATGATAATTATAATGTTGATAATGAAAAGAACTATGTTAATAATCTAATAATATTAAGCTATCTTAGATTTCCATGGTAACAAACCTTAGTTAAATCATTCGCATCATTCTGCGCTGCCTTCTGATTGGCCAGCTCCTGATCAATTCTACTTTGACTCTTCTTTTTCACTTTTGTAGTATCATTGATTGCCAATGTTTCACCTGTTAAATCTACTGACACATCTCCTGGTTCTGGTGTCTTTATGCCACCTGTTAATGTATCACACAAATTAGGGATGATTCACTAACAGATGAGGTAATGTACCATTGATAATGGTAAACTGATCTCAGATTAAACAAAAAGCAGTAAACTATTATTCTAGAATGTAGATGAATGTATTTATTTAGTAAGTGCAATGCAAAAGTGTTATGCTTGTGTGGCACACAAATAAGTATGTAAGTGTTAATTTTATAATTAAAGGTATTTAATTAATTATTCTATTGCACAGAAATCTATGTATGTTATAAATTTTACATAGCAAGTCAAGTCATAGCAAATACTCATGAAATATATTATATCTTTGCTCACCACTTTTTTTCCTTATGTTACCAATATCAAAAATTATTTTGCTCCTTGGACCTCTTTCAGGAAGTATCTGCATAAAACAAGTGTACAAAAAAGTATACAATAAAGTTACTTTTACTTTCTAGTACACAGGTGGGCAAAGTGCGCCTGACAGTGATGTTTTTTGCGGCCCCGAAAATGAATTAAAAACCCTATGTGTACGGCTCGCCAAGCAACATGGCTAAAAAACACCTTATATTTTACGGCCCAACACCGATTATGAGAAATGTAACATTAAAACTGAGAATAAAGTGGTGTAAAAGCAGTGCTTTGGGGTTTTTGGAAGCTCAAAGTTTGGGTGCGGCCCTCCGACCGATTTTTATGCTCACCCCTATTCTAGCAAATGCAGAAATTATCTATCTGTGTTGCTATGTATTTATTATATATTATGTATTGTTTATATTATGTGTTTGTATTTGTGTACTAGGTTTAGAAAAACAAATATCATGTATTTTTTTGTGAATGATAATAAATTGAATCTTGAAATTTAATATTAGTCTGTGATTACTTATAAAATAAAAACACTAAATATGTGCTTTCCTATTCAAGAAACCTGGAATAATCGAATAAACCCTGGTTTATTTTTTTCATCATAATTATTATTCTTTTCATTATTTAATATCATTAATACTTCACCTGCACATCAGGTTGTGAAGCATTTTTCTGTTGTGATTTTATGAACCTCTGAAACCTGTCCATGTCAACAACCTTTCCAGGAAAGTCTTTTGGAATATTCTCCTTCTCTTCATCTGAAGACAGATGTTCTAATGTAGAATCTAAAAAAAAACATAATTAACATGAATTTTAATTAGTATTTATGAATTACCAATGATTCCTATACAAAACCTATAGAATTTCATATATAAGAAACCTTCACAAAAAGATAATACCCTATAAGATACGATAAAACATTATTTATGAGCCAACATCATCTACAGCATATCAACGCTATCAACATCAAAACCACCATTTGTTCTCTTAGATAGATAGATATTTATTGGATAGCACTTTTGAAACAGCGGCACATGTTGGAAAATACCTAATGATGCATCCAAAACAACAACTTCGTACAAAATGTAACAACAAAAATATATGTCAACAAAAATACACCTACATGTTATTTCATCATTAAGATATACTGTAAATCATAATCATCATCAACATTATCATTATCACCTAACTAACTAAATCCTTTTTGAGCCACTGGGGCTCATAGGGCTGGAGCTTATCCCCAGTTTCTATAGTGTGAAGCCGATGAGAATTGTACTCCCCCTGGATGGGACACTAGTCCATCGCAGGTTAGTCCCCAGCAGTTTGCTGGTACCCATTGATACAGCTGGGTGGACTGAAGCAATGTAGCTAAAGTGTCTTGCCCAAGGACACAAACGAATCTGCACAGCGGAGACTCGAAAACCCTGACCTTACGATTGAAAGTCCGAACCTCAACCACTACGCCAAACTGCCGCTACCTCATTATCACCATAATTGCTGTATTACCTTGGCTAGAACTGGTGACTTCGTTCAGAGCATAGGCATTCATTACAGACTCGCTGAGAGTGGTGAGCTGACTGTCTGTGTGTGGCCGCACAAATACTGGTCCCTGCAATCTAAATTTAAAGGAACTTCAATTACCATCATTATATTTATTAATACATAGAGTTGGTTTTGAAGGTTTGCAGGGTGAATTAAATTAATAAATAATTATAGATTTTCAGGACACCACGTGGCATGTTAAGCTACAAATCTCAATTTGATGGTATCTCGGTTCTGAGAAGAACCATTTGGATTGTACTCTAACCATCTTCAGGGAAAGAAACCTATAATTATTTATTAACACATAAAATTGCTTTGCGTAAAAAATACATGTCACCAAAAAAGTTACCTCTCATGTGTGTTAGAGATCTGAGGAGCAAGGGTCACGTTTGGAATGGCCTCACGTCGACGTGGATCGTCTGCAAACAGGTCTTTCACTACTGACATGACACGATCACTGTGGGCAATGACATCACTTAGCTGCGCTTGGTCGTAGAGGACCTCCCGCAGGAAGGCACTTTTTGAATCATCTAAACTATTGGTTCGAGCTGAAAGAGAACGGTCTCACTATTAAACCCAAGGAAGTCAGTAATCTTGACAATATCACAGATTGGACACATCCTATATACAGAGATCCCAAGTCTCCAGAAAATCGTGGGTTTCTCCCGATTTTTTAGGCTGTCTCCCGCCCTCCCGATTTTTATTAATATCTCCCGATTTTTAAAAATATTCCGAAAATTTCACGAAAAATGTGATTTCCACGATGTCATAGAGCAATGAAACAAAAATTGTTATCTTAAGCCAATATACTATGGCGCTCGCTCAGCCATAAAATGTCATAAACAAGGCCAGGGAGTTGTTATTTAAGTTGTTTATCAAAATAACAACACCAGGGCAAGGCAGGCGTGGTAGAACCGCCTTGTTTATCCTCCATGTTACGATCTTTTGCATCCAGCGCCGACCTCATTTAATGAGATGGCTGTCAGTTGAGTAAATAAATTTCAACAAATTAACGAAATCAGAAATCACATGGGAATGATGGATGGGGCCCAAAGTTTTCGCCGCGAAGATTTGGAACAGAATCGGTGCATAAAAAATACTTTTTCTTTCAAGTAAGCTTCAGTTCTTTAATTACAATACTAAAAAAAATATAGTGAATAGGTTTTGGTACTAAGCAGTCTTCCGAAAAATGAAGTTTATTTTAATATCGATCCCGAAATACATGTAGGGCTTAGGCCTAGGCTCTATCTGCACTGCAGGGTATGTACTGTATGTGTGTTGTGTTGGGTGGGCGTCTGTGTGTAGTGGTGGTCGTGACTCTGCAGCCTTAGGCCTAGTTACGCACGTATAGATGGATTTAATGTTTTTTCATGGCATTATGTACCAGTTATTATAGACTAGACATATATAAATGCTGACTTAAAACATGTAGTATGATTTACTAACTAAATTAAAATATATATATATTTTTTAATTTTTCAGCAAACGTGTGAATCTTGCAAGTGCAGTTACCTTGCTAGAATTCTATGTTCTTTGATGAGATGTAATAAATCAGCCATAGCCTCTAACATGCCAATGAACCAAGCAAAGCCTTGTTGACTGCTGCCAAGAACGATATATATATATATATATACTGTTTTTATATTTTTATGCATTTTTCTTTTAATTTTATTTTGTAGTAAAGTGTAGTTTTAAATAATAGCCTGGACCTCAGGGAAGAACAGTGTAACACTACTGACTGAGTATCCAGAATAAAGAAAGATTTCTATCTATCTATCTATTATAGGATGTGTGCTCTATCTGGCATTACAATGGTTTCTGTAACAAACATCCGTGATTTGCACACAAACTGACATCATGATGTCATGTCATATCATATTCATATGTAGGAAAATCACATGTATTTGTCAAAGAAAACTTAATTAATGTGCACAGACGATGAAGTTTGCACATAGTTGAGGCCTAAGAGCGTTTGTGTATTTTTGCCTCCAAAACAGCAGCAAAAGTACACAATGGACCAGAATTATCTGAAGCTATGTCATGTAGTATTACGTGTACTAAAAATTTGATCACACATTTGGATTTATAAATTCTGTGCTCTCAAAGAAATTTGTAGTTGTGTACATTCAGAGTCAATTGTATTGTACATAATATTATTGGAAACTATATTGCTTTAGTCTAAACATTATAATTCTTTCAACAGAATGCTTTCTATCCATGTCAAATGCCTAGATAAAGCAATTGGAATAATTATTAATATGAAGAGATTTTTTAATGGGGTCAAACACCAGATACATTTTTAATTAAATAAACTATTACCACAATGCTACAGTAAAACCCTGCCCTTCTACCTCCATTTTGGTCTTAACATTTACCTCTTCTCAATGTCTTGGCCACCTTTTCACTTCTAACTGCCTCAAGGTTACTTGACCTATGAACCTGCTTCCTCCTTATCTAACACAGAAAAAAAAAATTACAATTTTTTATTTTACATATAAATGTGGTATTATTTTTTTTCACTATGCAAATTAATGCTGGAGTTGCTTACCATCCTTTTGAAACTATTCAATGTTTTAACTGATTGATAAAGGTTTTTCCCCTGGCTCTTTTACTAATAATGCTAATAAACTGCCTATTAAAATAAAAACATAACTTGCCACCAGCTCTACCTGAAAGTTTAACCAGCTGCAGAAAAATTAAATAATAGGAACTACGGAATGGTGAGTTATGTACAAATAGAAATTTCTTAAGACATGAAAAATTATAATTCAATTGAATAGTACCTGTTCATCTGGGCTCATTTTGTGCACTGTGAGATCTGAAACTGTATCCTGAAATAAAACAATTTGAAGAATTAATTTTCTATATCACCGGTAATACCATAACAGTTTTTTTTTTTTATACGTATGGTTTACAACATCAAAACTGAGAGTTAAATGAAATAATAAAATCCATCACAAAAAACTAAACATTACATTTCCATTATTGTTAATATCATTAAAGTTTTTAAAGCATTTTTATAACTGTTATGTAAAATTATTAATTTAAATAATATCGGCTTTGGTGAAATCTGGGGAAACCACCCGCCCGACTAAGAATGCAATTTAAAATTTAATTTAAAAATTTAAAGCATCAGATATCAACTTCCGATGAAAAGGTGGTCAGAACAATTAAGTTCCAAGATAAATTTCTATTACTATATTGTTATATTTTGTACAGTAATGGACAAATGAAACATTCTCTATTCAGTATTGTTGAAAATTTGACACCATTAAATTAAATATATTTAAAAAGAGTATTTAACTACTACCTATCATGATTTTATATTACTTTGTTACATGATTGTTTTACTATTGAATCTGAAGACCAGTACTTATGTTAAATTGAAAGAGTATTTCTGGTACTGGTAGTGGTACTGGTATAGGCATTTATAAATAATGCGCCTCTTCCTTGGGATTCTAAAGCACACTTCCCTGGTCATTGGGTCCACATGACTGAACAGAAAAATGTACAATTTAACATTTGACTCACATCCCAAGCTGGTTGCTTCTTGGTTCTCTTCTTTTTCGTTCCAACATTTGTTTTTTTGCTGATCCTTTGAAATGACATTTTGTCATCCTTGCTACATAAATACTAAGTCTGCAGAAGAATATGTTATATCTGTTGCAAACATCTATTTAGAGATAACCAGCACTAATGATTAAAATAAAATTGGACCTGGGCTGTACGGGAACCAGTCAATTCGAGCGGATGCCACTTTGAGCGAAGGTCAATTCGAGCGGATTCGAGCAGAATTTTTTTCGAGCGGATGCTAGTTTGAGCGGAAGAAGATCCACTTGTGCGAACAACAACCTGTGCGAGTTATATACGAATTACTTCAAAATTTCCTTTTTGAGCTAAAAATGTTGACATTTTCAAAGGGGAAGGGCGCACACAACAGTTCCAGAATAGATAAGCGAGTAGCATAACTCAATTACAAATATAATTTGAGCAAAAAATTTGACATTTTCAAAGGGGAAGAAAGGGGGTGCACAACAGTTCCAGATAGATAAGTGAGTAGCATAACTCAATTACAAATATAATTTGCTTTTTTAAATACAGAGCCCCAACCAGTGGCGGATCTGGAGAAGGGGGAGGGGTGGTGAATAGGGTGGCTAGCCACCCCAATTTGTTTACTGTGAAAAAAATAATGGTCACTCGTCTTGTGTGTGTGTGCTTCTCGTGCACTCTAGTAAAATACACTTTCCGTTCCTTTTAAGCTTTTTTGTGCGCAATTCTTTTATAGTTTTAACTTGTTAGCAGCCATCTTGGTAGTCGGAGTTGCCAAGACTGTAATTCAAACATGGAGTAATTATCAAAAACTACTAAAAACCTTTCAGAACCTTAGTAATCAGAGCATTTTTTTGCATTTAAAACAAACAAATACAAGAATACAGCGACGATAAATTTGCTCTTGTTATAGTTCGCACTAAATGCATCCGCTCGAACTGGCATCTGCTTGAACTGGCATCCACTCGAACTGGCATCCGCTCGAACTGAAATCCGCTCGAATTGACTGGCATCCGGCTGTACATGTCCTACTTTTTCAGTTTGTCATTTGCTAGGTCGACACAGCTGGCAAGTGGCAGATCAGCCAGTCATGGATAATTGGTTAGTAAACAATTTATGGATAGCAGCAATTTTCACTGATTACCAGACTTTTCTTACTACTACTACAAATTATGATTTTAAGATAATTCATATAATAAACATAACTTTGCAAGCCCACATAGGCCTATTTGTTATATTTTAAAGAAATTATTAAAATTTTCAGCCTTCATCATATCATCTCAATTGACAATGACATTATCCTTATCTTCACCATCATCATCATCATTACCAGTCACCATCATCAGCATCACCATTTAAGTCCTTCAGGCGTATAGTAGTAGCAGGGTTAGCCTATGCTATCTATCCTACCTGTATCCTAAAGGCGAAGGCCTAGCCTACTAGCCTAGGCTAGGCCCAGCATAGGCTAGATCGAGTGAGTAGGGCCTAGTAGTACTCTGGTAGTACAGCAGTAGGCCCTAACCTAGGCTAGGGCCTAGGCCAGAGCTGCCGGGGACTGGGAGGCCTGGCCTATATTCTAGGCCAAGAAATTAGGCTTCTCTCCATTCTAAACGAGTCCCAAAACTAACTTAGTTTTAGCCTAGAGAGTCTAGGTAAAAGGCCTACACGATTATTTACAAAATGACATCATACAACGTTAACCTCAACATCAACAAACTTTACTTACGTGTACTGCTGATGTTAGAAGAGTGGTACCTGGCCACTTGAAATTCCCGGTGTTGTCGTTGCCGGTATTGCGGTTTTTAAACCATTTGTTTTTCCAATTATTAATTAAAATCAAGTAAAATACATATTAAAGACTACTGATATTTAAATAAACTTCTGTTTTCAATTATTTAAATCGAAAACAGTAGACTGTTATTACGTTGTTTTTTTTTTTGTTTTTTTTTACATTGGTTACACATTATTTGCCAGACATGCGGTTGTAAATTATATAAATTTGAAGCATTTATTACATCCTATTTTACATTCACCAATAACATTTTATTTTTATTTTCTCCTCCGTCTGGATGATTTTGGCAAAAGTATTTCCTAAATAAGAAAAAAATTTTTATTTATTTTTATTCCTCCCTCCACCAAAAAATTCTTAAAAAAACAAGTATGCGAAACAATGAATAAAAAAAAAAGTCTTGCCTTAGCCAAATAATTAAATAGCCTTCATCCTCAAGCTCATCATCATCTTCTTGCTAGTTAGATCGGTAATAAACCTATTTATACTTCAATTTTGCAGGTCGGCAATTCATTTTTCTATTTGATATATATCCCACCAGATTTCATGTCTGCATTTTATGTTAGTCATTAAAAAAAATATTAATATTAAATTATGAGTTTGCATTGGCTCGGAGTTTAGGACTGCTAATCAGCGTAATGATGGGCAACTGTGCAGATGGTCAAACCCGTACCCCGAAGGGGCATCAACGCTTGTCCTATTTGGCGGTAGGCCTAGATAGAAGAAGCCCCCTAGCTACTAGTAGACAAAAAATGAAATCATGAGATATTACAGGGTTCAAATTTGTGACCAATAAATATATAAATAATAAATATAAAGTTTAGGCGTAAACTACATTCAAAAAGCATGGAGGTATTCATTAGTTCACATAGGCCTAGGCCCTACTACTTCGATGCTCCTACTAGCCTAGGCCTAGTTAATTATTTAGGGGAAAAGTTTTATTATTGATCATCTGTGTTTTAGAACGACGTTCAAGTAATGTCCCTGAGAAGAAACGTAAACTTGGATCAACTGGTTCAAGACATCCACAATTGGCAAAAGGTTGGTTACTTGGGCAATATCGCATCAGTCAATCTTTTTTTTTATTGATATTTATTATTTAAATTATCAATTAATTTACAACGCTTTTAATTAATTTCAGCAAATAGATGATTTATTGGAGACCAATCAACAACTTGAACTACAAAAGAAAATACTACATAGACAGTGTGAAAACAGTGAAATAAAAGAGAAAAATGCAATTGAAGGTACTGTACTATATTTAAAACATTAAATACTGTTGAGATTCAATTGTTTTTGTCAGTTATGCTATGGGAAAGCAACCCTGTATTTTTAATGTTTATATAGCCTATACTTATATGGAGACTTGCAGTATACACTATATACACTTATTTTTTAACAGATGCAAATGAGATGCATAAATTGGTGGATAAACTTCAGGGTATTCTAGCAATGAGGTGTGATATTGAAGGTAGATGTCATCTCAAAATTCAACTATACTATATTAAGAGTTATTAATGAATAGAAAATATGCTATGTATTTCGATTGTGCCTAATATAACCAAATAATACACACTACCAATTACCTGGATTATAAAAATAATAAGATAATATATTTATTTTAAAGATGAAAACCGAACACTTAAAGATCAGATTGAAGATATGCAGAATAAAGTAGCAATGCTTGCAAAGGTACAGTAATTTAATTGTATTACAAAAGTTAAAATATATTATTTCTATAGATTGTTTGGTGTGTGTGTGTGTGTTTAGATCATTGATTCATCAATTTAATTACCAAATCCTATTTGGTAATAAAATAAGTAAGGTATATTTTCTAACAAAATAAAAGCTTTATTTTAAATGATGAAATTAAAGATTTTACCATGATTTGACTAGGAGCATGGTGAGAAGGAAGATAAATGGAAAGAAGAAAGGCAAGAAATAATTGAAAGCCATAAAGAAGCATTAGCCAATGTTACAGAAGATGCCAGAATAGAGGGTATGTGTTATATAACATCATCAAGAGATACAAAAAAAAAGTTTGGAGTTTGAGCACCTATAGAGGGCGCTATACAGATACTGTGCTTTTTCTTTGTAGATGTGTATAAGAGACAGAGTATTTCCTAAATAAGAAAAAAATTTTTATTTATTTTTATTCCTCCCTCCACCAAAAAATTCTTAAAAAAACAAGTATGCGAAACAATGAATAAAAAAAAAAGTCTTGCCTTAGCCAAATAATTAAATAGCCTTCATCCTCAAGCTCATCATCATCTTCTTGCTAGTTAGATCGGTAATAAACCTATTTATACTTCAATTTTGCAGGTCGGCAATTCATTTTTCTATTTGATATATATCCCACCAGATTTCATGTCTGCATTTTATGTTAGTCATTAAAAAAAATATTAATATTAAATTATGAGTTTGCATTGGCTCGGAGTTTAGGACTGCTAATCAGCGTAATGATGGGCAACTGTGCAGATGGTCAAACCCGTACCCCGAAGGGGCATCAACGCTTGTCCTATTTGGCGGTAGGCCTAGATAGAAGAAGCCCCCTAGCTACTAGTAGACAAAAAATGAAATCATGAGATATTACAGGGTTCAAATTTGTGAGAAAAGATACGAAGTGTAAGAACACTTCAGAAACAAATGGCTGATGCAGAGAAAGCAAAACACACAGAGATTATCAAACTAAAACTGGAAGTAATGCACATTGGTTGGTTATTTTTAAGTTTTCAAAACTTCATACATTTTAATAGAGAAGCTGAGATAGAGGGTGTTACACTGGTTGAGTTTATTATCTATTCTTCAGCTTTTAAATATTTATAATATAATGTAAAAATGACACAGAAGGATCAATATTGTGCTATTAAGTGGAAAATACTGTATTAAATACTGTAATTACATTTTAATGTTTATTTGTTTTGTGTTTAGTATGATTCCAAGATTTCCCGCCTTCAGAAACAGGCCACAAAAGCCCAGCAAGGCAGCAGAAGCACATCAAGTAACAGCAATATTTTTAGACAGGTTCGATATGACAAATATTTGTTGTTCTTAATCCATTTGGTTAATATTAAATTTATTCACATAGGAAATAGCATCATTATTTGGTTTTGTTTGTTCTCTTAGAAACTTAAGTTCGCCAAAGAAGAATCTGATAAAGAAATATTAACGTTGAAGAGAACGATTGCAGATTTGGAGAGGAAACTCAACAACCAGCAGACATCGAAGAGGAAGAAATTCTAAAATGAAATGCATGCTTGTGGTTCTATGTAAAATGTTATGCTGTAAAATTACACTGCACTCATAGCTAGTAATATTACAAAAAAACAAAAAACAAAAAAACATTCTATGATTTGATTTAATTAGTCAGCAGCTCATTATTGTGCATGTCAAGGTTTGAGTTAAAAGCAGAGTTTATGTTGTCCAGATTACACCATGAAGTTGGGGTTGGTTTAATGGAAAATGAAGTTAATTGAATTTTTTGTTGTAGAAGTAAAAAATAGATTCTCTCCTGCTGTATTGTCTCGTTCCTCATCTTCTTGTCATTTGCTTTGTGTTGCTGTGGAACAGGTAGCACGGGAGAGGTTGCATGACCAACAGAAAATTAAGTACATTAAGAATTTTGAGACATTAATAGTTACTGTAATGTGCGAATGTGTTTTACAAGATTTTGTGAGCTGACAATTAACTCTAAGGAAAAATTACAGGGAAGTTACAAAATCACAGGTAGCCCAGGAATTATGTACATATCCCTTCATCTTTAACAGTTGTACCACTCCTCTTGGATCAAGATGGAAGTCATAACACACAAATAATAATACATATGTTTTTCAAATTTTATTAAAACACTTAAGAGAATATGGTCAGTATAATATTAAAATCCTTAAAATATTCAAGTGAAAAAAATATTCAGGTTGTGTTAGTACAAGAATATGTAATATTTTTTATAATAATAAAAATAAGATTCGAGATTTACATTTGGTAAAATTTACACTCAAATCCAGTGATAACATCTTTAGTCACATGAATGTTGATAATTATTTCTTATTGACCCCAAAATAGTACTTTGTGATGGTAAAGACGAGGGAAATCAAGCAATGTTGCTCACCAAGTATAGACAATAAATGATGAATACTATACTCACAAGGATGAATCTAAGTACTGTACTGTAGTATATAAAATATTGTTCCCTTTCCTGTCTTTCAAAATCTTGGATTCACCCCTAACAGTGGCGTATCTAGGGGGATGCGCGGGGGTAAATATTACTCGATCCCCTAGTCATCCCCACCCAAAATCACAAGTCAAGTAGTTAAAAATCACCTTATTTTGTGAATTAGTGCCCCTCAACTGGTCATGGAGCCCCCCCCCCCACTTCACCTTCACGCCCCCATCAGCACCCCCATTTCAAAACTCCTTGATACGCCACTGACCCCTAGGACTGTTATCGTCAATTACAGTATGTAGAAAAAATTTATAAATGAACAACAAACAAATCAATGTTCACAATACTCCTTACAATTATACACAAATTTTATAAAAAGGTTAACAAAAGAGGACTTCGTAAATACAGAAGAGAATGTATATTTAGATTGGAATTTTAAACGTTGAGGGCAGCATTCAATTTTCTATTCACTGTCTGAATATTTCCTCTTATGTTTGTGTCTTTTACTTTTCTTTTTGTCTTTGTTCTTGTGCTTGGATTTCTTGTGTCTACGATGTGACCTACGGTCTTCAGCTGAATCACTATCTTCATCGGTTGAACTTTCAGAGGAATGTGGACTACGGGAACGCGAGCGTCTGAACAACAAAAAGAAAAAAATTAAATTATCAAAATAAACAGTATATATTCTATACTGTGGTGTGGGAAAATCAATGTTGGAATTTCCAAATTAACTTATTAATTCATTGACAGATAATTTATATACTTTTCTGTGGCAAAAACATAATGCAACAATCTTTAATTAAACAATTAAATTACTATAAAAGATTGCTTATAAAATAAACTGTTCAAATATTGAATTTTATTAATAATATGTTGTAAAATAAATGTTTCTTTTATATTCAATATACAGTAAATTAAACTACAATCAATCAATTTATATATTTCATTTACAGTAATTTATAGATATGTTAGATTACCTTCTACTGTGTTCTTTCTTCTGTTTCTTTTTCTTGTGTTTCTCTCTTGACCTGTGCCTTGAATTCTTCTTTTCATTTTTATCTACAAGTAACATTTTAAAATGTTAAAAAGAACATGGATTAAAACCGAATTTCACATCTAATTTTATCCTTAGCACATTTTAATGTTTAAATATCAATGTCTTACTCTTCTTTTCTGCAACTTGTTTGAGTGGGGTCTCATACTCATTCTCACTACTTTCGCTACTAGTACTGCTTATGTCTAGTGTGACATTCTTTTCCGGGTCGATTTGAAGGAAATTACGGCACTGGAATGTAAGGTGGCCCACGTAGCCACATTTCTTACAGGCTATCCGGGAATTGTCTTTGTTTGCTGTAATTAGAAAGAATATATAAACTTTAATTACATTTAAACAATTTTTATGTAACTTTTTTCATTTTACTTACCTACTTTATTTTCCAATTTTTCTTTCTAATAAAAACACTGAATACGGTAAATTAAATTCAGGATTTTCCACAGACAACCAATTAAAATTAAACAGGTAGGCTTAGGCCTAGGCTATGCTATATTATATATACAGTGCAGCATATATATGTATGGATATTACAGCTTTACGTAATACCAATTATTTATCCAATCTTTTTTCATCCACCGTACTCTATAGTGACAAACCACATTACAGAGTGTTATTCCTAGGCCCAGCCCTATCTATAAGCTATACTCTCAACGGACACCCGGCCTTCAATGGAAAAGGCAGGACAGGGCAGCTCTTGTCCGGTGCATGCACTGCCATTTCTGAAGACCGGCCTAACTAGTTAGGCCTAGACTGACTTTTTCATCAAAGCATGGTCCTCTGTCGGTGGTACAAGGCCACTACTAACTAATAAGTCTCCTGGTATCTATTTATATATTGTGTAAATAATTAAACGGGTTTTTTTCCCTCTTTCTTTCTGATGACACTCACCTGGTTTTCCGAGAACATTCATGTTTTCGTTGTTTTGCTCTGCATGGTTTCCAGGATAATATTAAAAAAATCATCTCAATTTAAATTAATCAACCCACTGATTTGATTAAAGTTTAATGAAACTTTTCAAATTTCCTGGCAAAATTACCTGGATTTGAGACATTCGCTAAATTGGATGGGTATTTTCCTGAAGCTCAGATCCAGCAAGCAAGAAAAAAACAAAAAAAACAAAAAAAAAATAACTGAAATGGCGAAGGAAGTGATTAAAGCTGATTATATGCAGATGAATATAGTGGCCTAACAGTTGAAGTATGTTAGATTTTGAAAACAAGTATTTAGGGTATCAAAGAGCATTATCATTATTTTGCTTACTTAGTGAATATTATTATTAACCTACGCCTCGCTGGAGCTGGGCTAGGCTATAATAGGCCTAGGCCAACTAACTACTCCCTGGGTGGGGCCTAGGTACTAGACTAGGCTAGGCTAGTCATCCAGCAGGTCCATGTATGAATGCCTTTGCTTGGTTTGCTAATGAGCATAGATAGGCCGGCCGCGTGCCTAGTCCCTACAGTGGTCCTTACTGTATTCTTGTATATAATACTGTTTGTAGGTAGAACCTCAGCTCAGACCTACCAACCTGCCTCAAACAAACAAAAGGCACATTAATTTTTAATTTATTAATTTGTTATGGCCTAATAATAAGTAATACTGTATTATTTAAGGCCTAGGCGGTAGTAGTAGTAACTTTAATATTTATATTAAATATCTGTAACCTCTTTCTCTCTTTAGGCCTAGGCCTAGTAGGGCTTGTTTGATTGGAGTATGGAGTCTATACACACATTGCTACTGGCCTTACACTTATTGTTATGTTTGTGTCCATGTTGGTGTGAAGACCAAGGACTGAAATGCGGGGATCTTCAAATCGGACAATATCCTTTTTGCTTATAATCATAAATTATTTGTTTATGTTGTTTAATTCATTCATTATATAAATGTTCCATTTACAAAATTTAATATATACAGCCCAGGTCATGACCTGGCAAGAGAATACATGGGAAAGAAGAAAAAGAAACACCTATTAAACATTCACAAAACTACAACATTGTGATTTAATTTACAAAAAAAAAATTATTAATAGTAGCATATTTTATAATATAAAAAAATAGTTTGAATTGATGTTGATTTGTGGCCTGCACTGTCACACCTTTCAACTATTTCTATTGAAATATCACCCATTTATAGACCACCTCTATTTTTTAAAATCTCTGATCATCTGTGGAAGGATAAGTGTTATTCCAGTTCATTAATTCAAACCATCTAGGTCCAGAAATGTAACTGAGTGATGCAATAATTAACTTTCCCAGTGGAGCAGGAATATGTTGTCCTTAGGCCAAATAAAAAAAAAAAATACTAGTTTCTCGTCCCCTCATGCATCCATTTTCTCTGCCTCACCAATTTTTTTTTGTTTGTATATTTTACAAAATTCCTCTCTCGATCATTCGTAGTTGGGGATACATATGGTATGAATCATGTCTAGTACTTCTTCAGAAAGTAGTAGCTGTTTCCCATCAACCATCTTGGATTTGTATCTCGAAGTAAAAAAAAGGGGGAAAAGTGCCCTCGTTCTACTTTTTTCAAAATATTAGGATGAGAAAGTCCTTTTTTTAACTTGGCCTAATATACTTATATTGTGGTTTTCACCCTCGAAACTGTGCTTGTCACATTAACACACTTGCTATGGTGATATTGTACTTAAACCATAAAGACATCTTTTCTCCATTCTTAATCACAACCTTTAGTTGTATATGTAGGTGTATGACCCTTGACCTTTATGTACATTCACTTGTAAAGATCCGGTTATTGATCCTCATACACAGTCTGCTGTCGGTTGTACAAAGAACAGGAAAGTTAAAGGTCAGTTTATAGCTTAGACTTGGTTGGTTTGGATCTGTTATTTTAGTTGTAACTTGTGTAAATTTTTGCCTCGGTCTTTTTTTTTTAGTTTTATGTATGCCAGTGGAGAACATCACGTGCAGTGGTAAATTATACAATGGGTTGGCCGTAAGCAAGGAAATTGATAAAGAAGTTGATTGCAGATATACGTAAGTACTGTAATGCGAATGTAATTTGACTATTGTAAATAAAATCTGTTGACGTACAGCAGTAAAGTAGGTGAACATTTTGAGCTACCGATATGTCTTATGTGTATGTGTTTTGAGATACATTTTATTTAATGTTTCCATATTTTAACAGACAATATCATTATATTTGCATGTTACATGGTAAGTTTTAGAATACTTTTTTTTTCAAAGAAATGTTACAATTTGATTAATTTCAATTGGAGTAATGTATATTTTCATTTGACAGAACCAAATATTCTTACACGACAACCCTGTTACTCTCCATATTCCTTGGCATGTTTGGGGTCGACAGGATGTATCTTGGATACCCCGCCATTGGACTCTTGAAGTTCTGTACGATGGGATTCCTTTTTGTTGGACAGTTCTTGGACATCATTTTAATTGCAACCCAGGTAAATTTATTTAACATATACAGCCATCCAAAATGAGAAAAGGGGTCCCAAGTCTCCCTGAAGTCGCGGGACTCTCCTGGAAATTAGGACAGCCTTCCGCACTCCAGCAAGCAAGAAAGAATCTCTTGCAAATTCATGATATTTGAATATTTTTACTACTTTAATATTAATTCTCACAGCTGTCAGTTCCGATGGGTAATCATCATGCGCATTGAAACAGATCTCCCGAAAGATATTTATCCAGCTTGGGACCCCTGTGAGACAATCCCCAACAATTATATAATTGAATATGTTGTGTGGATATAGCTCTCTCTGTGGCTATAGTTAGCAATAAAACGTGAATACGCTTTAAAATCTATAATCTATGTTAATTATTAAAAGCAATTTCTTATTTGTTTCTAGGTGGTTAAGCCAGCAGATGGTTCCGACTACATAATCAGTTACTATGGGCCTATGCTTTACAAGATGGAACTTAATAACCAAACTTATATAATGCCGCCACTAACAGCCAGTTATGTTGATGAGTTATGACAGAGGAGAAATATAACGACCAGCCATTACTGGCATCTCTGTATATTTAGTTCTTTAAATATAATATTTTTACAACCAAAAAACATTGAAGATTGAGCACACATATAAGAAATTAAGCACACAAAGCCAAAATGCTGTGCTGTAATATAAAAAGAATACTAAATACCAGAGCACGCAATTGAAAATTTGCAATTTCTCATAGCATATGTCAGCATATTATTGAATAATTTTGCATATTTATCACATCTCATTAATGAACAGTTTTTATCATTAATATTCCAAATATTCATTTAAAATGTTTATACTGTTTCATGACATTCATAGTTATTTTAATACTATTGAATATAAAACACTCGGAAAGAAACAACAGAGACATTCATGATGCCGCCGTTCGCACGCTTTTTCCAGCCTTCCATACCCATACCAATATAATTTGTACTGATTTTACTACAATGTTATGATTCCTCTAGGGTAAGCTGGTCTCCTTTGGGGTTGCAATAAACACTAGATTTTCCAGCGAGATTTCACGTTGGACATAGTGAACCATGTCTATGTTGAATCCGTGACCCTCCATGTACTTGACACGACCTACATCTATAAGGCGTTTACATTGCCTGCCGATTTCGGCTCTCTCCTCTGCACTCGGAACACCTGACCTGTGTTGGCAAAAAAAACATGTTCTTAAAGACTTTTAAAAGCAAATTCTGTACATATATTTAATGGTAATACAGTCTGTATAAATCTTGTGCTTTGTGTATGATATAAGAAATTATTGTTAATTCTGTTTATGATTTATATAGAGTACTACAGTGTTATGTCACGATACCATGTGATACTACTCCATTGCTATTGGTGACACAAAATGCGTTCAACCGACACCATTTTCTCCACTGCCAAATCATTGATCCCAATTTCTAACGTAATTATTAAGAAGTTGTATCTTAATTTTTCTTTGTTAATGTTAATTGATGATTAAGTGTGTGTTCGATAACTAATATAATGCAAGCTTTTGATGGTAAATTATTAGGTTTTAAAATGCCTATTCTAAACCATTAAGATTATGAAGTCATTCAGGCGTAATGAACAATAACTAACATCCAGAGGGCGCCACCTGGTGTTGTGACGACACGACTGTGGTACTCTATATTCATACAATGCAATTTATGTTTTGTTCAGCACTAAATTTATCAATGTATATCTTGTGATGGGATCTTTGTTAGGGGTGGCTTTAATGTCTTTTAATGGCAACTCTTCATAATTTATAGAATACAATTATAATATTGTTTGCAACAAGGTGTGCCTGGCTTAATATCATCATATGGTAATGAATGAAGTATCTAAACAATATTAAAACATATTAAAGATACATTTCCAAGATTAGATATTTTCTATTTTTCAATGCCATTTTGGATTCAACTTAGGCAAGTTCAACTGTACTAGTCTTTTGCCTTGTAATTATAATTTATCTAGCTTTTTATTTGAATGACTAGTAGCTATAATGTACACAATGGTTTTTCCTTTGTAACTTCTGGATTGCAAAGTATTTTATACAAAAAAAATAATTTAAACAAATGTTTCAGAATCTATTCTTTACCTGCTTAAATCCACATCCTGCTGGGGTTGATGGGATTGGAAATCACTACTTGTAGGTTCTTCCACAACAGAATGTTCATTGCTCTTTTCTTGGTCATGTGACTTATCTTGATTGACAAGACCATCACCTGAGCTCTCTGGTTTATTCCTTGTTCCGCAAACAGCCCAGCTTGTCAAATGAGTCATGATGGTGAACTCCTCTGGAGTAAAATTGAAGTCTCTGAAGAACCTCTTGCCCACATAGTTCTTCCAGTTGCACCTATGATGGCAACATAAGGCAAACATTATTCCAGATATTTTTTCCCTTGGTTCGTGAGGGGCAACACACAGGCGCTTGGCCTGGTGGAGTTCATAAACTGTTTGGTCGCCATCATCACCCTTCACTTGGGACTGATCAACTGCTGGATTACTACAATCACCTTTGACCAGGGTCGCAAGGCCACTAACACTTGAATCGGCATTAAAATTCATTAGACACCGTAATGCAAGGTCTGGGAATAAATAAGATAAATCATGGTTACTCAATAAACCATACACAACATGGAGAGGAAGTGAACAGCACTTCATAGAAACTTTTGTTCACACTGAACTTCTTTGGGTGATAGCAACTATTCTTGAAGTATAACATCATTAACAACCAAACAGAACAGATACAACTTGTTTTATAATCATGAATATAAATGTAACATACATAAGGATTTTCCTTGTAAGCTACTACTGTAATAATAATATAATACAGACATAATGTTTTTAAAACATCATCACAAAAACTTTAAAAACACAAAGTTTACATTTGAAAAACATGGCACAAAAGAAAAAGAAAAGGTGGAGAGAATATGAGCAGTAATGGGCCCTGGAGGATATCAATGCTTTTTGCACTGATCAGGTCACCCAAGGTAAAGAAAAAATAAATAACAAAAATAAATGATGATGGTATGTCACGTCCTAGATCTGCCACTGCTTCTATGACTTACCAGTTGCCGCTCCACACAAATGTTTGCTGATTCCAACAAGGGGGTAATTATTGTCCTTGATCCCTGGAACCGACACTAGCTCAAGGTCACTGATATCGAGGTTGAGTCGCTCAAACTTTGGTCCTTGATTTTGATGGTAACAGTCCAACTAAATACAGTAATTAAATACAAATGCATGAAATTAATACAGTAGTAAGATCCATCTCTGCAACATACGTTCAGGTTAACTTATGACCAAGCTGCAGCTCAACTATAATTATATGATAATGCCTTTGCTTGAATGTGCTGCCAACTCTCGTGCATGAATGAGCATTCACTTTTTACGTCACGCATCTACATTGCATTATCTCACACATCGTAAGAAATGTTTATAAAAGCCTAAAATGTATAGGCAGATTATACCCTAAAATTCATAAAAATAAAGTCAATTCGCCATTAAAATGTGAATACAGGCCATATAAATTTCCTTTAATGAAGCTATACCGACTGACTACTGTAATCCAAGCAGTTCCACTACAATTTTGTTTTTTAAATAACATAGAGTTTGCTCTAATTTGTGATTATTACATAGAGGGCGCTATATACTCAAGCATCAGACACCAATAAAGTTGGCAGGTATATGAATGTAGGTGTAACATCGTTTACCTATGGATGATGATTGGCATTTACTAACCTTCCTGCGGTTGTGACCTCTGTCTACCAAGATGACCTTAACATCTGTTGAATCTGAAAGAGCCTTTTGTAACCAATGTGACAATTGACCTGCAGTACAACAGATAAACTCAAATTAGAAAAAAAATTACTAATAATATTTGACTTTGTGTTTGTGAAGAATAATGCTACATATTTTATTTTTATCTTCCTTTGTGCCTTCTTTCATATTTAAAGGCCCTTTATAATTTATGCACAATGTGCAACCACCTTAAAATCCTAGGGAGTATGCCTCATGCGTGTAATCAGCACTATCAATTTCATTCAAATATTCACCTCCTACCAGACACCCATTTATGGTGAAGAGACACAAATGTAGATGAATTGACTTGCAGAAGGACACAGGCAAAATGTCAGTCAGCAACATCTGTCTCAATCTCACATCCTCTTGATTGAAAATCCAAAACTGTATTGTTAAAATACACACTCCACTATTTGTTTACAAGCATATTTTTTTGTCAATTTTGTTGATTTAACATGACATACATACCTCTACCAGCTCCAAATTCTATAAAGCAGGTCTTGTTTGTAAGTAATCCCTTCTTCCGTAGGTGCCCAAGCAAGGAAGCTTGCTGTAAAAGATGCTTACGGGCAGATGCTCCATTCATAGCGTCCTCCAATTCCTCGTGAAAAACTTCATGGTCCAAAACTTCATCTCTCAAATCAATTTTATTAACTAAAAATAATGATGATAATGAGTCATTTCATTTTTTATGGAAAATAAAATTAAAAGTGTACGAGCTGCTATCATGCAAACAATGCAGCCAATAAGTGATCAAATCTAAATAAATTCTTAAGCTTTGTATGCACTATAAAATTTGAAGTGACATATACCTGTGATCTGCATATATTTTGGTGTAATGCGTAGAGCTATTAAACAACTAGAGTGCTGACTGGGTGACGAAGCTATGCAGAGTTGTGTATGTGTATCATCCAAGATGGCCACCGTAGGAAAGCTTCACCTTCAGGCTTAGTATACATATTATACCCATAAATAAGCCCTCTGACTAACTATTATTTCATTAATAATTATTATTAATAATGTTAATAAATTATTAAACTATCGTAGCGAAAAAGAGGCCAAGTGGAGTATCTGATTTAAAAATAAAGTACTGATGAATGAAAATCAAAATCATGTATGTTACATCCATGCACCCCAACGCTAGAGTTTCAACATGCAGGTAACTTAGCTGTATTCAAAACTTTCATGTGTAAATAGCGAGCGCTACTGAAAACTATAGGCATATTTTGATTGGCTAATCACCTTGCCCATATATAGGAAAATCTCACAATTTTATTACATGAAACTTCAGAGTGTCAACAAAACTTAATAAAACTATCACTTTGCAATGCTTACCACTGTAACATTTCTTCACTTTGGAGATGATCGATTTTAATCGGTCCAGATCCATTGACTGGAGTGATATCTAGAAGATGAAAATAAAATAGTAATTGTCTGTTAAGTTATCGTGGCAGCTCTTTTCCGCATTATGACAGTAGTATATCCAATGCTGACTAATTCTAAGAAAGGCCAAAATTTTTAAAAATAGTTTGTTGCCGGACCAGCAACTGGGTGGAATTCTTTTTCATATCCACTCGCCGCAAGTGAAAATAATCTTGGGGAAAAAAAATTGGAAATCCCCATCAACAATCAAGGAATCTATCTTACCTTTGGTTGCTTGTCAGTATCATCATCTGAACCAGCATTTATGTTTTTCTTATAGTACTCCTGGAATACAATCAGAATTAGCCATATGTGTTATATAAAATATTATCAAGGGCAATGACTAACATATATTTTTAAAAGTAGGCCTATTAAACAAATGCATAAAGAAAAAAAAAACTACATCAAATCCTAGCTAGCCCTGGATACAAACAATTAAAAAATGCTTTAATGTTCAAAGAAAACAGCATTAAACATTCTATGTTTGGAAATCAAACATCATTGATGCCTAGAAAAGGTCTAGCAAAACCTGGGTTGTTTTGCTTATTTTATTTATTGGTTTTCTTTTCAATGAAATCCTTTAATCATATGATGCATCTTGAGTTCCCTCCGGATATGTGCTCATTATTATAAATCAACATGAATTGGGCTGGATGTTAATGCAATGATATTTTTTATTTATTTGGGATACCAAAATACAAATACAAACAGCAGACAGGGCTGAAATTTTACATTTTGAAAATATATAAGAAGTACATCCTAGAAGTATTATAAAATTTTATTAACATTATTATTCAAACTCACAATTCTTGTATAGGTTACACAACACCACTGCCAGTATTAAACATGGTTTTACAAACTCTTGAACACTAACTTACATAGTTTTGCTTTAACTTTGCATTGCACTTCTTGAGGTGTTTTTTGAGCTGGTCTTCAAATATTGTACTGTTTTTAGAAGAGAGACATATTTTGTAAATGCACTAATCAGTGAATGATAGACTGGTATAGTAATATACAATATAAGTCCTGATGGGTTTCATGGGGAGAGAAGTAGATCATAATTTTCATATCAAAATTTGAATTGCTCATTTCAAATAATCAAGTAGTGGATATTGTTACGACCCATACTGTAAAGTGTGATACATAAAAATAAAAAATTAGCTGAAATTTCCACAGAAAATTGGTAGGATAATAGATGCGCAGATTTGTAACTACTGCATGATAAATTGGTTGTATATTAGAGATAGGTCAAGGCCTAGTTTTCGGCAAAATATGTACAGAAATCGGCCCTTATTATCCGAAATGTGTAGATGGATACAGGTATATTCCCAGCGCAGGTCTTATTTTACAGTTTGGGCACCGACATACCATAGGCCTAGTGCATTAAGATAGTGAGAATAAAAATTTATGGTCAGGGAGCATGCCAGCTCCACCAATCAACGCCTCAGTCAGAAAACTTTCAAAACAATAGCCACATTTAAAATAATAACATTATTTATAGTTATTAACTTGTAATTAACAATAAAAATTATACAACTGATCCAGAATGTACAGAAGGGCCTGCGCAAAAATTTGGCCTAGAATTCCGTCCATTTTCTAGCGATTTTCTGAGCAGATTTTTTAGATATCCTCCTTGCAATTAAAAAACTTTACAGTATGGCAACTGGTAGGCCTAGCCCAGGGCCTAGCTGGAGAGGGCCTTTGTAGGGAGGGCCTGGGTAGGGAGGGCCTGGGTAGGGCGAGCCTAGTTTGTCGGACAATTAAGCATTATCCTACATTAAAACTGATGGCCAAGGCTAGGCTAAATGGGTACGCATTCGTTTGCCACTGTGTCACACGGGGTTGTGCCACACAGCGTCGGCGTGGTTTCGAGTTGTGAGCGAGCGTGAGGCCTAGGATAGAAGGCTAGCCGCGCTACTGTCACTGTCACTGACTGTTTATGATCAACAGGACAAGGAATTCGTTTTCTTTCACCAGCTTCATCTTCGTCAGGCGAAAATAATATATGTTCACCACAGTAATGCTTTCCTACACCTGGAATAAGCTTGCAAAATCTTCCTTTCCTCTTTACATAGTATTTACATCGTCGAATATCAACTTCCATGGGCGCAGCCATTTTATAGTCCGAGTACACTCTATTGAGGGCGATGTTTTATGCTGGTTGCCGCTGCTGCTTGGTCACCGAGGCACCAGCTTTCTGCAAACAGCTCAAACGCAATGATACCTTCGAATATTGATAACATTTTATTTTATTTTTTTTATTCATTCGGCAAAATAAAAATTAAACTACAAAACTAAATATGTATTTCTAAACAGTTACTTAAAGAAGAAAAGAAAAGAAAGAATTAAAACCAAAAGAAAGAAAATGAAAATAAAAGGAAAGTAAATATAAGAAAAAAGAAAAGGAATGAACTATAAGAAAGAAAAAGAAAGGTTAATCAAGGCAACCTAAGAAATGGTAAAAGAAAGAAAAGGACAAGAAAGAACGAATCAGGATACAAAAGAAACGATAAGATAAGATAAAATGAGATATGAAAAAGCATAAGAAATTAAAAGAAAAGAAATAAAGTAAATATAAGACAAATCAAGGATACATAAGAAGCGAAGAAAAAGAAGAAAGATAAGGAAATATTAAAAAGGTAATTTAAAGCTAAAGAAATAATGCCTAAGGAGGTATTAGAAAGAAAGCGGAAAGGAAAGAAAGGGAAATTATAAGGAAAAAAGAAGACGAAAGAAAGAAATGGTAAATAGGAATCACGGATGAAAGCACAGGATGAAAGTGAAAAAGAAGATAAGTAATTAGACGGTTAGCTAATACTAAAATAGAAAACAAAAAACAAGGAACATAAAAGTGAAGGTCATCTAATATTTGATAAGTCTGAGGCGGTAAGTTTTCTTTCCTTCTTATTATTATTATTATTATTATTATTATTATTATTATTATTATTATTATTATTATTATATTATTTTTAATATTATCATTATTATTATTATTATTATACATTTAAAAAAATTAATATTCTCCTTCGTATTATTTTCAAAAATAGACATAAATCCTATGTTATATTATTATTAGATATCAGAAATTGACCGTCTAGGCATCCCACTAGATATACGAATTGTAAAACGATTGAATATTCAAAATAAAAGATGTCAACTTCTTCATCAATAAGTAGAGATCATCTTATAAAATATTCCCAAAGCGTGATTTTTAATAGTTTCGAATCATACTGTTTCAGTCTCATGTGATAGGTGATATTGAGTGAACAGATGAACGTAGCATAAAATCAATTGGATGGGGTGTCAATAGTTTAAATAACAAAAGAATTGACAAATCGATATTCCAAAGTATTTCCAATCTGTGATTAATTGTTTCGGCTGAAATTAGAGACAGATCACGTATCTAAAAACTACAACTCGTGTACACACACTATCTGACCAAACATTACTATAATGTCTAGAGGAACGACGTACGGCACAGCGACTCAGTCTCAATCAGCTGTCGATATGGAAGATAGAGAAGCTGGGAAACAGCTTTTGCCGCCGCGCTCACCAGGTAGTGAGGACTCCGATGACGTTCAGGAATTTTCTTTGCCACCACCTAGGAAAAGTAATCGACAGAACAGAAAGTAAGTTCGGATTCATTTTTTTAAATCCATAAACAATGTTGAGTTTACCGAACTAAGAAGAGTCGTAAAAAGAAACTTGTAAAATAGTCAATGATATTGATAGCCAATTATAAATATTGCTTCCTGGCCATAGAACACGGTTTAATATTCTAATTGATCAATAAATGTATTATATATGGATATAAGTTTATATTATAACTTTACCACAAAACGGTTTATAATTGTAGGCCTACCATGATATAGGCCCATTATGTATATATTTAAATTTATATTGTTTCAGTATTGTGGTTTTCCACTATTTTTCCTTTTAATAATACCGTAAAACATCAAATTGAAGCCCTGGGCTTTTTTTTTCTTTTTTTTTTTTTTTTTTTTTTTGCGAACTTTATGGGCTTCTTTTGGAGGCCACATTGGCAAAGTAAAGAGAGGGGCTTCTTTTCAAAAATGAATGCTATAAATCTTGGGAATTTGTACTATAAAGCAACAAATAGAGCCACTATAACATCAACGTATATTAACCGGCATTAAATCCCCTAAACCTACTGTATAAACCAAAACATGTTTTCAATTTATTTTGTTTCTTTGAAATTCATGTACAGTGTATGTACATTGTACTGTACTATCTCGAAAAGGTATGCTATCTCCAAAAAAAAAGCCCATTGGCTTCTTTTCGAGATGGGCATCTTTTCGAGGCTAATTTTGCAAACTGAAAGGTGGGCCTCAATTCAAGGTGGACTTCTTATCTAGATTAAGCCAATTGGGCTTCAATTCGAGGTTTTACGGTATGTAGCCTACATAAGGACTTCATATCTGTATTGTACCATTTATATAGCTAAATATACAGGCCTATATAATATGGGAGCTACCGTTTATATTGTTGTCAATCACACTACAAATATACGATATCAAACAATTCTTTTATTTATTACCATATAGGCCTGGATATTTTTTTAGGATTAACGTAAATCCCAATAACGATTATAGGTCTATAACGATTTTTCAAATCCCGACACAATTGGCTTATTAATTCACAGAGATTAATATACAGAGCCGAAGCCTCAGTTTATCCATAAAGTATAGTCAGTTTTTATGATTTTTATGTTAGTTTCCATATTATGTTCCTGTTGTTAATCAATGATTAAATTGACAAATAGTTTAAATATCTCATATATGCATTAAAATGACTAAATAATTACTGCAGACTTAGTACATTCATCATCCACATTATAGGCCTGATGATGTAGCTAGGCCGCAATTCACATGATCCGAGCACGTCACATTGTATAATAGGCCTCCATCCCATCGATTTTTCAACTGAGTTTTAGTTTTATGAAATACCGTAGTTCATTAAATCCAACAGGTGGAGTTTATAGATCCTTAGCATTGAATATAATCGATTATAATAACATGTGACAGTGGTACACTGATATCATTGGTTAAATAATATAAGGATAGGTTGTGCAATGATCATGACATGATGGTGTCATAAGACAGTAATAGAAATATGTAAATAATGGACAATTAAACCGAAATTGGAAAAGATAAACCTAAAATCAAAACTTACAATATTCACAGTGTACAATCGGGCACTAACAAATCCTGGATAACAACAATGAACATTATGAAATAGACGCATGTACAATGATAGGCCTTTATACTTTATCTTGGTTGAAATGATTTATCTTTTTATTTATATACCATGTAACTTTGAAATGATAGGCCGATATAAGAGCATTAACATCATAGAATAGATAAAGACCCCGGGGATGTCAACCAAGGTTTCGGAATCCTACCATCCTGATCCTCCGTGGCCAAATAGGCCACCAACAATCACTGACACAAATTAATAAAAGTTAGTATACATAATGTATGCGTGTTATTTTACATAGGGATCAATTTATGAGCAACATGCCAAGAAGTGCTTAATGTGTTCGTCCTCCCTTTCAGAAAGCTGTCCAGTCGCGTCGATCATGGACAATATACGTCATTCAACGTCACCCTTGCTCTAAAATTCATGCTGGTTGTTTTCATTCTAACATGTGTCTGTGGATTGTGTATAATTTCACTAAGCATTAAAGAAGAACTTGAACAGATGAAGCGAAAACTTGACATGGGTACGTTTGTTTTCTCTGTGAGCTGTGGGCAAACCTTATCCCGTTGCCCACTTTCACAAATTTGTGCTTATAAAATCAGTATTAATGTAATGTACTTCTGTTTCAATTTATACACGTGATTACAAGGAAAATTCAGGTAATTTACACGAAAGGATATACAGGAGTTTCATTGAAAGTAGCTAATGAAAGGTACGGTAATAAGCCTAATAATTCTAACAATTATTATTATTATTATTATTATTATTATTATTATTATTAATATATAATATTATTAGGCCTATTAATATTATTATTGTAGCGTTATCGTTATTACAATTATTAATCCTTATCATTAATTTTATCACTGTTGTGACAATAATGAATCAAAAATTGATAAATAAATCTTATTTATATATCATAATATTATAGTACAGTATAAAATAATAATAGTATATTATATTTTTACAATTATTATGCCTATTTTGAATATTATTTCTATTACTGTTATATATTTTATATGAATCAATAATAGATACATAATGATAATAATGGATAATAATAGATAATAATAGATTCAAAGTACAGTACATCCGTATATTTCTATTTCATCCGTTTATTTTCTAAGGATGGATACATGCCAATACAGTATACTGTATTAACATAATGCAATAACGGAGCTATAGTAAATAAATATTTTTACTTTATAAGCTTGACAGCATCAATCAGTTTGAAATATGATAAAAATAGACCTTTTCGCTAAGCCCCACCCCTATTCTTGCTAAGGTGACAGGCCGCCATAACAAAACGAGAGCGTAACGTGCGTTTGTGAGGCACACGTGCGTTTGTAGGACACGTAGGCCTACCTGACACACACCTGAAAGGTCCATTGAGTGTGTGTGTGCCATCGTGATACGAAAAAAAATTACAGGAAAGCTTTAACGATTACATCATTGTTTTTAATAAACACACCTTAACATAAACAAAAAGTTAATGGAATTTAGTTTCAATATGCATTAAACCACGTGAGTTGCTCTGTGTTTTTATCATCATAACTGGTTGTAAATTTGCTTTCAGGATCCAGCTCGGTTTGGCTCCATGGCTCGTGCTGTGATTTCTCATTATAACTTCACAATTATTGTGTTATGTTTTCGTTTTGTCTGCTGCAATTTGGAAGGCCTACCTACCGCCGCCACTTTGTGTTAAACTTGGTTTACGTTTCCTCAGCTGAGTCTTGAATCATTTCATTAATGAAGTGCGTGCTATGAATTTAGATTGTATTAACGGCTTCCAGTAGGCCTAAACGCGATTATAATAGGTCGCGCCTTAATTTACGAAAATCCTGAAATGTCCAGACAGTAAATGCCTATGTGTTCTAAAAAATGAAATGAAATAAAATAGACCTACTTGATTTGATTAGTGTATAATGTACAACAATATGTTTAGGTTTTAATTTTTTTTTAGCTTTTAATTGAAAATGAACAATCTATATTTTCTTCGCCAGACGCTTCACAATTCCTATATGGACTTAATTTGGTTTGGACTGATGAGAGGAAATAAATGAGATTGAATTAATAGTACGGTAAAGAACCGCTAAACACGCCCCTTTTGGGACATGTGCGTCTTCCTGGTCTTTTGGTTAGTTGTTAAGTTTGATTGCGTAAGACTCCGAGAAAGGTTCAGGATTGCCAGCAAAAAGTCTCAATGGCACACGACAGTTAGGGCGTCCCACAAATGCATGTTTGGTTGAATACAATCATCAAGTAGACTTAATATAAAATAATTATATATATATATACTGTCTCTTATACACATCTAGATGTGTATAAGAGACAGTTATGTATATATTTAAATTTATATTGTTTCAGTATTGTGGTTTTCCACTATTTTTCCTTTTAATAATACCGTAAAACATCGTGACAATAATGATTTAGTAAAACCCTATTCAATTCACAAACAAAAATCTTTTATGCGAGTGTTTGATGCAGTACATCGCGTACCGGCAACGTAGGCCCATATATATTTTCTCAACATAACGCCTTTGCTGTTGCCTAATTTAGCAAATGTTCGTTTTTTTAAAGAATTATTCCACAAAAAATAAAAGTTATAGGAGAGGGAGATGTGTCATTGTGTGTTCGTATGGGGTGCTTATTTAATAATATTTGGTAATTCTATTTTAAATATTTATCCCTTATTTTAGATTTTATGACAGAATATGAAATACTCTTTTGAAGCAAGTAATGGCATTTGTATTTAATTAAGAAGTATAGTATACAGTAGATTTGCTAAATTGCTTGTGAACAACTTACTCGTCAAGTTACAAATGAAATCATTCCTATAGGTTTCACCATACCCGTAATTACAAGTATCCTCATTGGTTGCTATTCTTTAACCCACTGCATGTCAACGAATCACATTCATTTTAGTATTAGGACATGGATGGGCGAACACTAGTCTCGCTGACGTAAAATCTAAACATGGCAGAAGAATTTACAGCCTACGAAAGAAACCTATTTAAAAAGAAGTAAATAAGCTCAAGAACATCAACAGATTTTCCCTCAGTTTTGTTGAGTTGTCAAGGTGTCACCCTGGATCATCAAAGCAAGTCAAATGGGTTCTCAAAGCCTGTTAAAAAGATGAAAAAGCGGAAGGAGTTGGATGCTCTTGTTACCAACGGATCCCGTGCCAAATTATCGAAGAAGAAAATGCCTACCCATCAAGAGGAGGGACATGAATTGCTGTTAAATATAGAATCGGACAGCGGATCTTCGCTGGACTTAGATTTTTCACCACCTAAAAGAACTTTTGTTAGGAAGTAAGAAGCAAATCGTTTAAAGAATCATTAGGTTTAGCCGCTAGGGCCTAGGCCCTTAGTTGTTACTTTGTGATGAGTTGGCCTAGCCAGGCATGGCATGGGTAGGTTAGTCTTCATTCAGTACTGGCGGTATTCTTTCGAAAATAAAGACAGGGCCTAGACTAGGCCTAATTTTATCCGCTCAGACTCAACTCGACACGGTTGAATGAAACTTAATTTGTCACCTTTTCAATGATGTCATCCCTCCAGTACACCAGGGCCGATTGAAATACTATGGTACCACCATTATCAATACAGTAATTATTAGGCTTTTGAGAAGCTTAATTTTCGTCAAAATTTGCGCAGAAATTGGTCCTGACCTCTTGATTTGTGCGAAGAGTTTCTACACTAGGCCTAGGCCTAAATTACTGTATTGGACAGGGATAGGCCTGTATTGTTTGCGTAGTTTGTCTCCCAATTCACCAACACGGGTGGTGGGTCCACAGCTCACATTTCTTTTGTTTTGGCCTAGGTAGGACCAAAAATGTTGACAATAAATGCCAACAGTAAGATTTTTAGACAATTCAGACAAGTTGTCAATGTTTTGATTTGTTGGACCAAACTTAGTGTAATAACTTTACTTTTACTGTCACGGTAACTAAACTAAAATCATGATCTAATATTTTTGTCTTTTTACTATACCAGACCTCACATTTGCAACCTCTGTTTGTCAGGCTGTGTTTTAGTCTTACTTGTTGCCTCAATTCTAATGTCTATTGCACTCCTTTGGATGAATTTTGACCTGAAAAACGATGTAGATGGTCTAAGGAAAAGACTTGATCTTGGTATGTTTTGTTCTGTTTTGCTAACTGTGGTTGTTGTGTCTCTTACCATTGTCAGTTTCAATAATTCATGTGACCAAAACTCAAAAGTTTTCTTGTATTGTTTCATATTTTTGAGTGAGTTCCTGTTTTGGAAATATTATTACAGTAATTGCAATTTTAAATATTTTTTACTGATTTTGATTGTGTAACTTTTTATATAACAATTCAAACTATCTTATTTTTATCATTACTGCATTTTAGTTTGTAGTATTATATTATTTCTTCCTTTAAATATTTTGTATTCCTTTCAGAAAAGAATCCAGGGTGTGTAAATTTGCACTTAATATTGGTAAATTACTTTTAAAGGTGATAAATAGTATAGCATTGACTTAATTGTTATTCGCTTGTTAAATATTCATGAGAGAACATTGAAAACTAAGGGATGTAGGGAGTCTGAAAAAATTATTACATACGGTAAATATAATAATATTGCTCCATTGCATTGGTAATAGTGCCATTTGTAACACTAATAGTGCAGTATGCAAGTGCTGCGTATAATACATTTTGTTAAATATATTAATTTTCATTAAGCTCTCTGTTTACCACCAGCAACTTTTCTAGTAACTTTAATAAAATATTTATGAAGGCATTATTATACAGTTACTGTATTCCATGTATCTATTGCTTAAACAAGCATACTGTAGCCTGTTAGATCATTTTAAACATTATTAACTGTCAACATAATTCTTTTACAGGCACAAGAAATGTAAAGTTACAAATTAATTTTAAAAATATCAATTAGAAATTTTAATGATATTTTGTGTTTTGTTTACTAATTTTTTGTTTTAAGTTCATTTTTATACAGCGTAAGGGTAAATATACAGAATGTTATCTTATTACATGTTGCTACAATTTTGATTTAACTAGTTATGCCTTATTCTTTAAAATAATGAAAGTATCAAGATGTTCTCAACTAGTTCTACTAATTTTATGCATTAATGGTGCTCTAAATTTTATGATTGAAAATAAAAATGGTGATTAATGGATTCTTGCTTTTGAATGTCTTTAGTTGAAAATGTGAGTGGGAGTTCTAAGTCACAGCTTGACTCGACGCAAGCACTAATAAATGGATTGGAAAAAAACATCAATGATACCAGAAATAGACTGAAAGAAAACGTCCAACGAATGGATCTGAAATTATTAGATATCAATACCAAGGTATGTATTTTATGTTTTATTCATATTAAAGTCTATTTTTATTTTTAGTTATTGAATTATGAGAAAATAAAACAATATTAAACCAGTTTTAATTATTTTAATTACTTTATTTTTTCCACATTTTGGTTTTGTCTTCCTTTTATCTTGCACTAAGTTGTGATTTTTAGTGCATAGAGAAAAAAATTGCCATTTCTATATGATACTATAATTGTTTTTTAAAAGGCCTCTTGTTATTGGTATTTTGACATTTAATAATATTTGTTTTTCATTCCAAGATAATTTGCTAGAAGGTGGGCAGTTAGCCAAGCCAGAACAAACAATTTTGCATTCTTCTTCCTTACAACTACAGACAACAATTTTTTAAAATAGACAAATCATATGTTTAATAAACAAAGGACAACGATGAACAAAGTCATTAATAAACAATTGAATAAACAGTCAGATTAAAAAGTAAGCAAAAATAAACATTTGATGAAGGGTCAATTCATTTTACTTGATAAAAGCGGACTTGATTGATCTCTGCCTAGAGACAAACAATAATACACATGTTGAATTAGGAAAAATATTGCCTTTTAGTCTGTTCGTACACTTTCTCTAGATATACTATAGAGAAGCCTTCTTTATTTTTCTTATTTTGTTACATAATAAAAGACTTTCATAATTTTGAATTCTATTTTATGAAATTTGAATGTGTATTATGTGCCTAGAATACTCATTCAAATTTCATGAAATTTGAACATGTATTTTGTGCATAGAATATAGAAGGTTGTCAACCTATATTGAGAGTAGAATATTTCCCAAATGTCTTTTATACACATGATTTGTGTTGCTCCCTTTTGAATGATTTAAATCCTGTCACTGCCAGTATTTTTATCAACTATAGGAACACAAATATAGTTTCTAAAACATTCAATATGTTACGCACTTTGTCAGACTTTTCACCATTTTGAAACAGACAATCACAGAATTAGAATGATGGATGGATGGATTTATTTGGTGTAAGCACAAAGGATAACCCTCAAAAGTCTGAAGAAGACTTCTTTCCAGTGGGGTCCCAATCCCCTACTCTTTTCCAAATAGTGTACTGCGTTCTTTAACGTGCACACTGGCCATAATGCACACAGTACCAAGGCCTTAAATGTCTCATCCGAAAGACGGTGTGCTATCGTAACTTGCATTTCAAGGAGAGCAGCGATAGGAATTGAACCGGGGACCAAGAGATCCTCATGGTTCAGCGCACGCACAGTGAGTGGCTACCACCAGTTTAGCCGACTGAGCTAAGCTGCCCTGTACACGAGGGAGTCTTGTACAGTTTCAGCAATCTAAGACTATCTCTAATAAATTGTGTTATAATATTAATCGTCATTTTCATTTGTATCACTAATTCAACACAAAATTATTAAAACCTGTAAATGTCATATTTTTTGAAAATTACTATGAGTAGAGTTATCCAAAATGTTTGTCAATTTTCTCAAATGCAATAAATTCACATACACTGTACTGTTAGTACTGTACATGTTTATGAAATTCAGTAGGTAGATGGATTCTGTTACTCAGTTAAGGTTGGTCATGGGACAATTACTGGTTTGCAACATAAACATATTATTTAACCTGCTGTAGTTTTATGGGGTACAGTAATACATTTGGTTCATCAATTTCCAACAGAGTACAAAACATACTCTTTAACCTCCCACTCACCCTCCCCGCCACCCCCCCCCCTTCAAAAGGACTACATTAGAAAATGGTTGTTGTCATTTTGATATAAAATATTGTTTGAAAGTTTGCATGGCAAAGTAATAATTTATTATTAATGCTTGCAGTACATCACATAGGTAGTTCTGAAATGATCTGTTGAGATTTGATTTTGATATAATAGGTTTTTTTTTCATAAAAGAGTGCTGTAACACTATCTCCTCACCCTAGTGTAAGTTTTGAAAATTTAAACAAATGGATGACCCCTACTTAAGTTACTTCCATACTTTTTGTAATGGTTTGATGTACAGTATGTCTATAAATTATTATTATCTCCGTTGAATTGAGACCAGACAAATTCATGTGATTAACAATTAAAACATGTCAATTGTCAAAATCCATTAAGTTGTTTACTGTGGTAATCATTTATTTCAAGGCCAAGACAAATTATCAATATGTTGATGTTGTTTGTCTGGTGTTTACAGATACTCATTCTTTGTCCTCTGCAAGGAAATAAACAAATGAATAATGGATCCCTCACAAGCTACAACTGAAGCAAAAAAAAAAAGTGAATCTTAAACCCTGTCCAACATGTGACATGCCTAAATATGGTCATGATGACATCACATCATGACCATATATAGGCACATCAAGCCTAAATATGGTCATGATGACATCACATCATGACCATGGTCAAAGAAAATTTGGTAGCCTGGACAGCTTTATACATCAATAATTGAAATAGCTGAGAAAGGCCCTACTACTATGTAAGGGCCCTGGGCCTCCCGGGCCCTAGCCTAGAGGTGGTTATCTTACCCCATCCTCTCCCCCCTCCAATCTTTGGGGTTCTTGAGGGTGCTTCAGGCTGAATATCACAGAGTTCAATCTTCTAATCAAAAACTATTCAAACCTAACTAAATACTATTGTTATATCTTTATTTTTATTGTTATCTTTTTTCTTTTATGAGATATATTTTGTTAACTTGAAAGGTGTATTATTTGTCTTGCAGGTAGCAGAACTTAACGCCAGTTCATTGTTATTAAAGAGTAAAATACAGTCACTGATGCCGCAACAACAAACTGCTGCAGACGGCCCTCAGTTACAGAAGGTACCTACATTTAGTATTGCTTTTTTTTTATGGTGTCATGGTGATTGCTCACCTACTGTAGTTTCAGTAGATGTGGCTGTCTATAATAGACAAAGTAGTT